GTTGGGGCGGCAGGCCTGGATATGGGCAACAAACAGATGGTCTTCACCTCGCAGCAGCTGGAGGAGTTCCAGGTAGGGCCGATGACACATCTACATGTAGGCACAATGGCAACTGCGTCTGGGGGTGCAGCTGGCACAGGTGCTTAGCGGAGCGCTGGTGCAGGACGTGCTGGGATGCTCACACAGGTGTGACAGGCGTGAGGTGGGATGCCAAGGCAGGTGCGAGGTTGAATCCCAGTGCATGTGTGGGTGGGTGGAGGGAGGGCCCGTGTGTGCAGGATGGGCTTGAGGGAGCCGCACCAGCAGGCAGAGCTCCTCAAGGCAGGAGCTGGGGGCTGAGCTGACAGCATCTCTCCCCGCAGGACTGCACCTTCTTCACCAGGAAGGAGATCATGAGGTCAGTACACGGAGGGAGAGAGGCCAGCTCCAGGCTGGAGGTCTTCCTGGAAACAGAGGTGCTGAGGGCAGTGGTGGGGACAGCGGGTGGGGGGACAGCGAGAGACAGGGCCGGGAAGTGATGCTGCTACAGCTGTGAGACTTCGCTTCCTCCCGGGGGCACAGGGAGCCATGGTGGGTGTGTGAGCCATGGTGTGGGCTGGGGGTCAGCCAGACGCCCCACCCTGACCTGTCCCGGGACACAGTCAGCCATGGTGGGTGTGTGAGCTGGGGGCCAGCCAGATGCCCCACCCTGCCCTTCCTCGGAGAGCCTGGGACTGGGAGCTGGAGTGCGGGGTGACAAAAGTAGGGGGTGGCGGCCACAAGGCTTTGCAGGGCCCTGACAGGAGCCCAGCAGACGGGCATGGAGGGGCCAGTTCAGCCTGTGGAGTAAGGAGGTGTTGGGGAGACGGCTTGTTGGCATTGTCCAGGTCCTAGCCCATGAACTTAGAGCCATTGAAACCCAAGCTGGCACTGGGGGTTCGACCGCAGGGTGAGCGGGGCCAAGGCCCCACTCACTGTGGGTGCAGGAAGATTTATAATTAATGGGTGCACCTCTCGCCCACACAGGTCCCATTGTCTGGGTGAGGACAGATCAAGCTGGATGGGGGGCTGTCGCAATGGATCAGCTTACTCGTGGGGAACTGGGGCCCACACAGAGGCTGACCCCTGAGGGGGTGCTGACCCCTGGGAGCTGAGCCCTGGGGCAAAAGGCACAGAGCCCCAAGGTGTTGGAAGGTCATGAGAGAGAGAGACTGACTCAGGGCTGCCAGAAACCCAAGGCTGGGAGGTTTCCAGAGATGATCCAGTTTGGGAATGGTGTAATCGAGGCTGAATTCCAGGTGCCCACAGCACCGTTCGGGGGTGTGTGCCAGCCTTCTTGGAGACCTGCAACAGTGCTGGTCAGCTGCTGGGCACGCTCCACAGTCACCAGTCCCCCAGGCGCTCCTTCCAGGGCCAGTCAGGCTGTCTCTGTGGGCCTGAGGCCCAGGCCTCAACCCGCTGACTTTGGGGACTCAGCATCTTTCAAGGTATTCCCCCAACACCTTTCCAGACTCTTCTACCGCTACCAGGACCTGGCCCCGCAGCTGGTCCCGCTGGATTACACCAACAGCCCAGATGTCAAGGTGCCCTACGAGCTCATTAGCACCATGCCTGAGCTCAAGGTACAACTTTGGGGGGGTTGTTGTGTGGCCGTGAGGCCGAGCCCCGGTGTATAGGGGGGTGGTGAGGCCAAGCCCTGGTGTGCGTGGGGCTATGAGGCCGAGCTCAGGCCTTCATCTTGCAACCCAAGACGCCCTACGTAGGATGCCCTCAGTCCACCTGGCTTCAGGCCTCACTAGCTCCACAGCCAATAGAAAGCGAGTTCCGCCCATTCACGATGATCCCAGGCAGCCCTGGATTGGTCAGTTGGAGTCACGTGTGACACGCCAGAGCCAATCACAGTGGCTGAGAGGACAGCCTTCTAGAGGAGGGTGAGACCCTGTGTGTCCCAGGAGGTGGCCGCCCAAGGATGGCCTGTCTCCTGCTGGTCCCCAGGACAACCCCTTCCGCCAGAGGATCGCCCAGGTCTTCTCGGAGGACGGGGACGGCCACATGACCTTGAACAACTTCCTGGATATGTTTTCTGTGATGAGTGAGATGGCCCCGCGTGACCTCAAGGCGTACTACGCTTTTAAGATCTACGGTGGGTGTGCACCCTGGGGAGCAGGGCTTAGGGTGCTCCCGGAGGAATGAGGGTGCTCAGTACATGGCAGCAGCCGGGTGGCCATTGGATGCGTTGTGTAGTGGACACAAGTGTAGGGTGTTAGGAGGAGTCTGTTAGCTAGACTCGTGGAGCCACTGCACTGGGCAGCCAAAGTCAGGGGGTTTTTAATTCTCATCCTGCCATCAGATTCAGAGACATAACAGCACAAAGTTTCCATGGATTCACTTCCCTAAGTGCAAGAGGCAGGAAGGGAGCTGCCGGAGCCCAAAGTTTTCCTGTAGTTAACTAACCTAGCAAGGTAGGAGGTAGGAGGGGCCAGGTGCGTGCCAGGAGCCATGTCTCATATGCAGGCCAGGAGCCATGTCTCAGGTGCAGGCCAGGAGCCATGTCTCAGATGCAGGCCAGGAGCCATGTCTCAGGTGCGTGCCAGGAGCCATGTCTCAGGTGCAGGCCAGGAGCCACGTCCCACCTGCTGGCCGCCACCTCCCCTGCAGACTTCAACAATGACGACTACATCTGTGCCTGGGACCTGGAGCAGACGGTGACCAGGCTGACCCGGGGTGAGCTGAGCGCAGAGGAGGTGAGCCTGGTGTGTGAGAAGGTGCTGGACGAGGCCGACGGGGACCAGGACGGGCGACTCTCCCTGGAGGACTTCCAGAACATGATGTTACGGGCGCCTGACTTCCTCAGGTGACAGCTGGCGCTCACGACCCCACGGGCTGTGACAGTGAATGGACTGCGTCGCTGGACTGGGCAGCCCTGTTATGGGGCGGGGAGGGGAGGTGGAGAATCCAAACTCCGTATCGCCAGGCTGATGGGGAGAGCGGGTGGTGGGCCGTGAATCAGCACAGCAATGGCCACAGGACTTGATGTGAGCAAAGATTATTTTTTTAATTTATTTATTTTCAATAGAAAAGTCAGATTTACAAAGAGAAGGAAAGACAGAAACATCTTCCATCCATTGATTCATTCCCAAAGTGGCCTCAACAGCTGGAGCTGAGCTGATCCGAAGCCAGGAGCCAGGAGCCTCTTCTGGGTCTCCCACACGGGTGCAGGGTCCCAAGGCTTTGGGCCGTCCTCCACTGCTTTCCCAGGCCACAGGCAGGGAGCTGGATGGGAAGTGGAGCTGCCGGGACTCAAACTGGAGCCAGGAAGGTTTGTTAATCCCAGCACTTACAGGAGGAGGGGCTGAGCCGTCCACTGCAACCCAAAGCCACAGCTGTTTCTCCACTCCACGTGAAGCACTTGGTCTGGTCTGAGTCCCGGCTCTTCCATCTCGGAGGGCACGGCCCCCCTGTCACCTTCGTGGGAGACCCGGATGGAGCTCCTGGCTCCTGGCTGCAGCCTGGCCCGGCCCCAGCTGCTGAGGGCACCTGTGGATGGAAAATGGGGTGTGTCTTTCCAACAGCTGCAATCAATAGCACTTTCAACCCACTTTACTTTCTCCTAAGCGTCTTGGGGGTGTCCATCCTCCCCCGTGGTTCCCTGCCCACTTCAGGGGCACCCCTACAGGCCACGCTGACGGCTTCCTTCTCTCTGCACACAGCACCTTCCACATCCGCATCTGAGGCCGTGGAGCTCTGCTGTTGCCTGGTCACGGAGAGGGAGGCTGCTGGGAGGACATGGCTTCCTGGCGGGATGGACGGAGGAAGGCCTGTGCTCCTCCCATTTTTACCTGGCTGTCCTCCCTCTCGTCCCTTCCGCTGCCCTGGCGGCCCCCATCTGCCACCATGGCGGGAGACGTGTCCCTCTCAGCTTTCTCCCCCTCCACTCCTGCTCCCGTTTCTACCCTGCTATAAATAAAATTAAACAACAGAAAAGAGGTGCCAGCGTCCAGATTTCTCTACACTGTGAAGGTGTAGGGAGATGGCTCCTTGGACACCTGGCCCCGCCCACAATGCTGAGCCCCACCCTCCGACACCTGGCCCCGCCCCTCATCTCCTGAGTCCCTTAATATCTCCACCCTGGCAGTGGCCGTGACATCATGACCACCACGGCAGGGCTGTGCCATGATGTCATCGGCTGGGATGATGACAGCAAAGCCCGCCTGTTCCCATCGGCTGCCTGTGGTGTCCAGGGAGTAGACACCCCCTCACCTTGCAGTCATTAGCAGGGGGCACCTTGAATCCAGGTGCGCCTCCTTCCAGATCCTTCCAGAACCATCTGTGGCCCCTGCACCCCTGGCAGGCCTGGATAGAGTTCCGGCTCTTGGCCCAGCACTGACTGTGGGCTTTGGGGAGTGAACCCAGCAGGTTCACACAAGCGTTCATGAATAAGTTTTTAAAAATATTTTTGTTGGAAAGGTGAAGTTATAGAGAGAGGAGAGAGATCTTCCACCTGCTGGTTCACTCCCCAAGTGGCCACAGTGGCCGGAGCTGAGCTGATCAGGAGCCAGGAGCTTCTTCAGGGTCTCCCACACCATTAGCAGGGAGCCAAATGGGAAGAGGAGCAGCCGGGACATGAACTGGTGCCCATATGGGATGCTGGCACCGTAGGCGGGAGCTTAACCTAGTACAACATGACACCGGCCCCCATGAAGTACATTTTATTATATATATATATGATTTATTTATTTTTATTACAAAGTCAGGTATACAGAGAGGAGGAGAGACAGAGAGGAAGATCTTCCGTCCAATGATTCACTCCCCAAGTGGCCGCAACAGCTGGTGCTGCGCCAATCAGAAGCCAGGAACCAGGAGCTTCCTTCTGGATCTCCCACGTGGGTGCAGGGTCCCAAGGCTGTGGGCCGTCCTCCACTGCTTTCCCCAGGCCACAGGCAGGGAGCTGGATGGGAAGTGGAGCTGCCGGGATTAGAACAGGTGCCCCTGTGGGATCCCGGTGCGTTCAAGGCGAGGACTTGAGCCACTAGGCCATGCCGCTGGGCCCAATTTTATGATACATTTTTGATCACTGGCAAGCACGAACCTGCAGGTGCCGAACCTACTGGTTGGAAAGGCTGCTGTCAGTGGAGGGTCTTGCCAGTACCTGGCATGCACAGCAGGTGCCCTTAGCCAGTGGCACCGTGAGTGAGTGCTGTCCACTGAGGTGGCCCCCGCGCCAACACCTGCCTTACATCCCAGGCTCCTGGGCACTGGTGCCCATGTGTGTGAGCTGGGGGCACCGAGAGAGGTGGAATGGCCCCTCAGCAGTACCCAGGGGCGAAGGGTGGTGGTTGGCGGTACTCCTCAGGGAGCCAGTGCTCTGGCTCTTGCGAGTCCTTCGGCTCCGACTTGGCTGCGTGCGAGGACAGGGCTCTGACCAGCACACGGTGCCAACCCCGGTCCCTGGTCGTGGCCTCGCTGCAGCTCGAGGACCTGGTGGCCTTCTCGGAGGAGACGGGTTTGTCTCTGCACGGCTGAGAGTGGCTTCTAAGGAGTGAGGCCGGGCAGGAGTCCCTGCAGGAGGAGGAGCTGTCCCGGTGCCCTTGGCTGCCCAGCCTGGCCCCGTGGCTCTGGGTCACCTCCGGTCGCCCAGCATCCCGGAGGGACGAGAGGCTGACGGCCGTGAGCTGGGCCTTCAGCTGCTGCTGGACCCTCTTGCCCGCCTGGGGCAGCATCTTGAGGTTCCTCCAGAGTCCGTGCCGTGTCTCGCCAAGGGCAGCTGGGGCTCCCTGCGTGGCTCCATGGTCCTTCTCAGCTGAGGGTCTTTTGTCCTTGCGCTGGAAAGCAGGAGCTGGTGAGACCTGGGGCTGCCGCACCTTGCACTGTGTGTGGCCTCCTCACCCTGTAGATCCCAGCTCTGACACCTCCTCCAGGAAGCCCTTGCACCTGCTCTGCTGAAGTCCACCACTCCTGCCTGCTTCCCGTCCCCTGCCCTCTGCAGATGGATTCAATCATGCCTCCTGGGCTCCCGTCCCTCCCCGAGGTCACATACCTCCTCAGGGGTGGCCCCCTGGCAGGGCGAAGATCTCTGGGGGTCCCAGGGGTCATGCATGCGACTACAGACTTCCTCTGCCAGGGCACTGGAGTAAAGGAAGAGATCTTCATAGTCCACATTTTCTGGATCCTTCTGAGGGGAGGGGGAAAGAGAGGCTGAGCTGGGGTCTAGGACAAACCCCTGAAAGGTCCATGGGGGCTCCGGGACCTCCTGGGCCATGGCAGCTTCAGGGGACCTAGGTTCCACCCACAGCAGGTCTCAGGATGACAGGCCACACCCACTGAGCGGTGCAGGCCCAGGCCACGCCCGTGGGGGGCCTGATAGGGCCTCGTGGCCCGCCAACAGTGCCAGCCTAGACCATGCCCATACCAGTCTGAAGGTGGGAAGACCACACCCACCCAGCCTTATAAGGAATTGTTAGCTTCCTTGGAATTAAGCAGGGTTACGGGACACTAGGGGAGTCCAGGATCCAGCAGGGGCCAGCAGGGGCCATGGCTGAGCAGGGAGAGCTGAGAGTGGGGTTTATGGGGCTGGAACTGGAGGACACAGGGCCAGGAGCAGGGGACACGGGAGTGGGGGACATGAGGCAGGGGGGATGGGCAGCAGTAGGGAACGAGCTGAGGGGGGACATGGGAGTGGGAATGGGGACACGGGAGTCAGGGACATGGGGCTGGGAGTGAGGGACATGAGGGCCAGGAGTGGGGACACAAGGCTGGGAGTGGGAACATGGGAGTGGGGGACGCAGGGCCAGGAGCAGGGTCCCTCCCTGGACAGTCCTCACCTGCCCGCAGGGATGGCTCAGCAGCTCTTCCCCGTGCCGCTGGACCGGGTTGTGCAGGTGGAAGGCGACCAGGGCGTCCAGCGAGGCGTGGGCCACCTCCTGGCCGGGGATGACGAAGCTCCCATCTTCCAGTAGCTTGATCATGAGATGGCGGCAGCAGCTCTCGGCTCTGCCAGGATGACCGGTGAGGTGGGCCCCCTTCCTGGACAGGTGCGCCCCGGGATCCCCACTCTGTGACCACCGCCCCCCCCCCCGCCCCCAGGAGCCTCCTGCACTGCCTTCACACCGAGTCAGCTCCCTGCTGGGTCTCTTGGGCCAACTCTCTCTCTCTCGCTGTTGGCCACCTGCCCCAGCTGGGCGCCCATGCCCAGTCTCACCTGTAGGACAGTGTGTAGCCCACGTGGCTGTGGCTGACCCTAATGAGGAAGGACCCCAGTGGCTCAGACTCCAACAGCTTCTCGGCGGCTCTGGGGAGCAGACACAGGAATGAGGGTGGGTCCCCATGCAGTGGCCCCCCACAAGCCCCGAGGAGGGTCCCGCCCACACGTCATCCCCCACACCCTGCTGCCCAGAGCTTGGTCCTTGGACCTAGGGGTCTTGACCTTGAACCAGAGACGTCTCCTCCAGGGTCACTCAGCCCCTGCCTCTTCCACTCACTGCACCTTCCAGGGGAGCTCACTAGCCAAGTGAGCCAGGGGAGAGCCCAGCCTGGCACCCAAGCCCAGAGGAAGCGCAAAGGGGCCACTAAATTATTCTCTGAGCAATACGGTAAAGCCAGTGCTGTAAGTTATTCTCTGAGCAATACGGTAAAGCCTGCGCTGTCTGATCAGTGGGAGTTGGGTCCTACGGAGGAGGTGTGTTAGTTCTGCACACACCCTATGCTTCCCCCGCCCCCTGCTCAGTGGGGACTGCAGAGGGACCACGTCCCGTGCGGGTAGCCATGGGAGAATGGCTCCTAGTGGGGCGGCATGGGCACCCTCGGGCTGCCAACATGACGCTGTCCTGGTTGCGCTGTGAATGATGGACATGAAGGACACGTGTGCTTAAGCTGACAGCTCCAAGCGTTCCCAGCGCCTGGGGGGCTGCGATAGTTCATGCCCGGCCCACTCCCCCCTCGCCCAGAGCGTCCCCCGCCGCCCCTGTGGTGTCGGTGGCTGCCTTCGCCACTTCCTGCCTGCAGGGGAGGGGACTGCAATAAGTGCTCTTGTGCGTTTGTTTAGAGCGAGGCCCAGGGGGACGTGGAGCGTGAGAGGCAAGAAAGGCGTGTTGGGTTTTGAGAGCAGCTGTATTAGGGGGTGCAGTGGCAAGACGAGGTGCAGGGATGGGGGCCGCCGTGTGCACAGGGCCACGTGACGGGATAGAGGACCAGGGCCCAAGCCTGGGACATGGCACTGCCCAGGGCTGCGGGAGACTCGCGACAGGGTGGGGTGGGGGCAGGGTGTGGGTTTGTCCTCACTCTCTCGAGATGGTCCCATGAAACCACTCAGGGATCCCGTCGCGGGCTAGCTGGCACATCTGGGTGTGCACGAACCAGTCCAGTCGTGGAGGGAGCGGTGGGGGCAGCTTCCCAGCCTCGGTCATGGCTTGCCCAGGTCGGGAGCGAGAGGGTGGTACCCACGGCTCAGCTTGGCTCAATTCTTGCAGCTTAGGGTGCTTCCTCCTTCGGGAAGTCCTCCAGGGTGGACAGAAAGATGGATTCAATGTTGGCATGCTTTATTTGCCCACGTACTGTATTCCTTGTGGTTGATTTTAAATGACGTATTTTATGTATTTGAAAGGCAGAGTTAGAGAAAGATCTTGGTTCATTCCCCAAGTGACCACAATGGCCGGAGCCAGGAGCCTCTTCCAGGTCTCCCACGCGGGTGCAGGGTCCCAAAGCTGTGGGCCGTCCTCCACTGCTTTCCCAGGCCACAGGCAGGGAGCTGGGTGGGAAGTGGAGCAGCTGGGGAACTCGAACCTGTGACCATGTGGGCTGTCTGCAAGCACACAGCTGGTGTCCGAAGCATTCATTGTGGCCTGGGAAAGCAGTGGAGGACGGCGCCCAGCCTTGGGACCCTGCACCCGCGTGGGAGACCCAGAGGAAGCTGTTTGACGAATGAACCAATGCGTGAAAGATTTTTCTGTCTCTCCTCTCTGTAAATCTGACTTTGCAGAAAAAAATAAATCTTGAAAAAAAAAAAAAAGAAAGAATCTAGTTATGATCTGGCCTGAGAGCTTAAATTTAAAGAACTCCTATCCATCCTTGAAAACCCAATGGAAAAATGCCTTCCTCCAGGCAGCCCGTGTTATCTCTGCTGTCAGACGACCAGGGCATCCTCTAACTACCCAAGCCTTCCTGCCCTGGCCTAGCCGTGACCATGTGCGGTTGGAGTGGGTGGTGTGCCCGCCCAGCGCTGCCAGCCCGTGTACTTCTGTCCTCAGATGACACCAGGGCACTTCTCTGCCCCCTCCTAGCTCCCCAAGCCTTCCTGCCCTGGCCTAGCCGTGACCATGTGCGGTTGGCTTGTGCCTGCCCAGCTGGTTCTATTTCTTCCCGCAGCCCTGCCTGCTGCTGGCCTGGCCCAGGGGTGACCCGGGGTGCTGGCTGATGACCTGTGCAGGAATGTGTGTACTCAGTTCTTTAGAATTCGCCCCATTTAGCCCCCCAATATTCTTGCTTTTCTCAGAATGCACTATCCCCCCCGCAACACCCACCCCACCATTTGCTCAGGCTGCTCCCTGCCGCTTGTGAGTTCACCTCCACCTCCTCTGAGAAGTCCTCCCCTTCGGGTCCAGCCTGGTCCTCCTTGTGCCCGCCCTCCCTGGGGCCTGGGGTTCTGAGGCACGTACCTGGGAGACTCCTGGCCAGCCTGGGCCCTCCTCGGGCTGCACCGCGCCCCCAGCCTGGGCCCTCCTCCGGCTGCACCGCGCCCCCAGCAGCGGCTGCCGGCAGGAGCCTGGGTTTCAGTTCAGGGTCTGTGCGTCAGCAGGGGCGTGGTTGCTCACCCCCAGGCGGTTCCTGCTTCCTCCAGCAGGTGAGCCCGGAGGGCGGGCTCCACCACAGCTTCTGGGACAGCCCCGCTACCTGTTGGACTGGGACACACTGTTCTCAACTGACCGGTCCAAGGCTCGCATTTTATTTTATATTCAGAGCTATTCATTTGAGTCACACACACACACACACACACACACACACACACACACACACACACACACAGATCAAGTTTATTCTCCCCAAACAATAGCCAGGGTGGGGCCAGACTGAAGCCAGGAGCCAGGAGCTCCATCTAGGCCTCCCACGTGGGTGCAGGAGCCCAGGCTGACGGCCTTTCCAAGCACACCAGCAGGGAGCTGGATCAGAAGTGGAGCAGCCAGGCCAGAAACCTGTGCCCCAAGACAGGACCTGGGATCACAGTTGATGGTTACGTCCACTGTGCCGCGAGCATTTATCAAATGCCCTTTGTTTTCAGATCCTTGAGGGGGGTGTAGGGGAGCACAGGAATGACCACCCTCGTGGCAAATCAGCGAAGTGGGGTGTCAGGGTGGACGCGAGGCAGGGTATTTGGAGGGTGGGGACAGTGGGTGGTGTTGCGGGCTGATCCCCTCCAAAAAAATCGTATCCCCAAAATGAGTCGGAGGCAGACCCTTAGAAGCTCGGAAGTCACTCAGGGCGCCAGGCTGTCCCCTCCCGTCCCAGGCAGCCCTACCTACAGGCTGCTGTTAGGGGCTTTGAAACTCACCCCGGGACGAAAAACTATGCCATCAACTCAGCTAGCCTTGGCGCACGGTGACAAAGGGAGAGCTGTCGGAATTCAGGGTTACTGGAAGGGGAAGGCTGAGCACCTGCTCCCCCACGGATGGTCACACCTGGGATGTTACTGTGTCTCTAGCTCTTGAACTTGAACATCTCCCTGGCCTGCATGGTAACATTTCCTGGAGGTCGGTTCCTTTAAAGTATCCAGGGGGACATCCCAGTATGAACTGGACTGGGGGCTACAGGCTGCGGCTGAAACAAGCCACAGCAAGCGTGGCTGACCGAGGCCAGCTTTGCGGGTGGCCATGCTTCAAAGCTTACAATAAATGTGTCTTTCTAATATTCTGGTCCCGCCTATGCGTCCCTAATTCGTTTTTCTGTTCACCCTGCGAAGGCCTGGCAAAACAGATGCCCTTTTGAATGTTCAGGCTGTCACAGTGGTGGTCTGAGTTCCTGGTCCCCTGCACCCACGGGGGAGACCCGGCTGGAGCTCCTGGCCCAGCTCCAGCTGTCACGGGCATTTTGGGAACAGTAGATCCTCTCAAAGGGGGTCCGGGTGCAGCCCCCTCCTCCACGCCTCACACATGTGCCAGCCCTGGCTGCTCTCTCTCTTCCCTCTAGGTAGGCAGGCAAAACCACTTCCTCTTCTCCCTGCAGGCCCAAACAGCCATCACCTCACCAGGGCTAGGCTGGGCTGTCCCTGCGTGGGCCCCAGCTCTACCACCCCACACAGCTGGACTCTCACTTCCCCTTCCTCCCCACAGCAGCGGTGAAGCACTGTGGGTCAGGCCAGGGCCCCAGCAGGAGATGCGGGCAGTAGTTCCAGCCCTGTGTTGTGTGACCTTGTGTAAGTAGCTCAGCCTCTCTGGGCCTTGTTTCCACATTTATGGAGTGGGTGTACATCGCTCATTGGAGCACAGGTGTCTGTCCCTGCTGCTCCACTTCCCATCCAGCTCTGGGAAAGCATCGGAAGATGAGCCAAGTTCTTGGGCCCCTGCACCCACACGGCAGATCGGGGAAAGCTCCTGGCTTCAGATCGGCTCAGCTCTGGCTGCTGAGGCCACAAGGCAAGTGAAGCAGCCGATGGATCTCTCCTTTCTCTGTAACTTTGCTTTCAAACAAAAATAAAGTTTAAAAAAAATCTTTAAAAAGTTTATTTTCATGTAAAATCTTGAAATCCATCCATAGTCAGGAGCCAGGAGCCTCCTCTGGGTCTCCCACATGGATGCAGGGTCCCAAGCACTTGGGCCAGGTTAAAAGCAGGGAGCTGGATAGAAAGTGGAGCAGCTGGGATTCGAACCAGCATTCCCACCAGTGACCACCTGTGTTGCAGAGGCAGCTTCACCTTCTGTGCCCCCACATCTTAAAATAATAATAATAATAATAATAATAATAATAATGTCCCTGGTGTTATGACTGACCCCTGAGCTTAGATGGATGACACGACTGTGCAGCCACGGGCAAGGGGCCAGCGAGGTCCAGCGTGGGTGTGTGTGGCTGTAAGGCGGGGAGGGTCGCCCGTGGGCGCAGCAGCCCGAAGCCCCCAAGCCCCCAGATGAGAGATTGCTCTGGCTTTGTCTTGGTGACTCTGCACCGGGAGATGCTGGGCTGTGCCTGCTAGAGGAGAGAGCAGCGGGGTGCGTGTGTGGCAGTGACTGCGGCTGGAAGGTGCTGGAATGCCAAAAGCCGTGGAGGTGTGTGGGTGCCCGGGCTCTGGTGGGCACGGGGCGGTGCGCAGGAGGCGCCCGGGCTCTGGTGGGCACGGGGTGTCTATGAAGCTGGTCCTCCGTGAACACAGCGCCGGCATCTTCAACTTTCTCCTGTGATGGGTACGGGGCACAGGAGCTGCGGGATGCAGGGGTAAGCCTGAGTCCACGGGATTCTGGAAGGTTCTGTGCGGTTGGTGAGGCTGAGCTGCCTGCCTTGGTTAGGGTGCAGGGCGCCCTCAAGCGTCCGCATGCCAGAAGCGCGGTCCTGGACGTGCCCAAGTTAGCAGCTCTGCACTGTGGGGTGTGCCTAGGGAGCCAGGCAAGCGTGGGGAGTCAGGGAGGGACAGGGTGGCTCGGAGCTGAAATCCACACACAGATAGATACAAGGTTTCTGGAGCTGAGGAGCTGGCCCACAGCAGTACTTGGGTTCAGTTCCCAGGCAAGGGCTGCTGGCAGCCGTTGGGTTCCTGGCTCCGACTCCGACCCAGCCCAGCCCTGGCCCTTGGAGGCACTGCGGATTTGTGATCAGTACAAAATGGAAGCTTTGGGTGTGTCTGTCACTGACACATAAATAAAATACAAGTTTTTTTTTTTTAAAAAAAAAGGTTCATGAAAATTGGGGCCGGCACTGTAGAGCAGCTAAGCCTCCGCCTGCAGTGTTGGTATTCTTTATCGGTACTGGTTCGAGTCCCGGCAGCTCCACTGCCCACCCAGCTCCCTGCCTGTGGCCTGGGAAAGCAGTGGAGGACGGCCCACAGCCTTGGGGCCCTGCACCCGTGTGGGAGACCCGGGAGAGGCTTCTGATTGGCTAGCTTGGGCGATGGTAACCATCTAGGGCTGAATTACTTCCTCCATTTCTTCTCTTTCACAAATAAACCCAACAGGGTGAGAGCCACCATCGTGATACGACAGATCTTTGTCTCGGTTGATTTTTGTCGGAAAGGCATACTTATGGAGACGTGCTTTTCATCTGCTGGCTCCTCCCCCAGAGGGCTGCAGCTGAGCTGGTCCAAAGCCAGGAGCGTCCCACAGACCGCCCACACGGGTCCCGGGGCCCGGACTCAGGTTTCCCCACACGTAAGCTGCTGCCCCCCGCCAATCCATGCCAAGTCAGTACCTGGTTCAAGCTGCGGCCACTCCCCCTTCTGATGCAGCTCCACAACACGCCTGCGCAAGAGGCTGAAGACAGACGGTCGGGGCTTCCAGCTGCTGCTCGGCCCGCCCCGGCTGTGGTCGTCACGTGGCGAGTGAAATGATGGGTGAATGTTCTTTCAAAGTAAGTAAGTGTTTAAAACAAAATGAAAACAGGTGCAACCCTAGGGGAAAAGAACAGGGAAATTGGATGGGACAGCCAAGAAGTGGCAAAGCTCTCAGGAACGTGGGGCCTGATGGGACACGACCCAGCAGGGCAGCCCGGGCTTGCTTGCGGCCTCTGTGCTCTGAACATGGCGTCCGGGGTGACGGACATGGACAAGCCGCCCCCTAGGGCTCCTGCACGGGGTGTTCGGCTCTAGCTTCCTGCTGACGGCACCCTGGAGGGCGGCGGCTGAAGGCCCGAGGGCCCTGCTGCCCTGTCCCTTGGCACCGGCCCAGCTGTGACTGCCGTGGGCATCTGGGGCGTGAACCAGCGGCTAGAAGATCGGTCCCTTCCTTTCAAATATAGCAAAAAACAAACAAATTGCAAAAAGCCACCTTTTTTTTAATGTTGACAAAACAAAACAAAACAAAAAACCCACAACCCTTTAAACTTTAAAATGAGCTTTAATTGGTTTTCTTAAGTGCATTTATCCATGTAAACAGCATGTTAGATTCCAGGGGGAGCGTAGACTATTGCTGGTTTGCGGGTTAATCGGACGACAGAAGGAATCGAAGACGCCAACGGCTTGGGCTGATGGCGGCTTGGGGCGGGCAGGGCGGACGAGCCGGCTCCCCGGTGACGTCCCCCTGTCTGTTCTTGGTCCCCATTCCTGTCCCCTGGGGGACATTGCAGCTGTTGCAAACAGAACCAGAGGACGTAAGGCCGGAAGCCAACCCGGCTGGCCCTGTGGAGGGCACCCACGGTGCGAGGCCGCCGCCCGGTGCACAGGGCCGTGTCCAGCTGCCGGGCGGGTCCGTTCACCTGGGCCTGCCAACTGGCAATCAGAGACAGGATCACGTCATGGCGCTAGGTACGAAATCTGGAAAAATAAAAATCTCAGCTAGGAGGAGCGTCCGATGCAGAGGCGGCGGGGCGCGAGCAGGGGTGGGGGCCGCAGGGCGCCCAGGGCTGGCACAGCCTTCCAGACGCTGCCACACGCGGCGTCTCCACCGGATTTGTGCCTCCCTTTGGTTGAGCATTAGAGAAGGCAGCGGCGGGGGGGCACGGGGCTGGGGTGGGAGGAATGGTGTTTGTCACTCGTCCCAAATGGAGAGCAGAGCTCCAGTGCGCGCCTGGCCCCCGGCCGCCTCGCTTGGGGTGTGGGGACCCAGCACCCTGGAATCCCTGCTGGCCTTGGAGGGGGCAGGGTGGCCAGGACAGGTCCTGTGTCACAGTGACACGAGCCATCGGAGGCCCACGGCGGCCGCTGCTGCTGGCCACAGCTCGACCTGGCATTCTCGCTCACTCGCTCTCGCTCTGTCCCCTCTCGCGGTGTGTGGCCAGGTCTCTTCAGCGGACGTCACAGAAAAAAAAATAGCAGATTCTTAACTTAGTCCATTTCCGGAGTTGAAAAAGATCAGACAGTTACTAAAATAAACAATTTCTCAATTGCATTCTGGGGGCCCCCCAGCGCCGGTGGCAGGGCCCGGCCCCGGTGGGGTGCTGGAGGCTGGGGGAGGCCCCTGGCTGAGCGAGGGCTCGCCCGGCAGGCACAGTCAGCTCGGCTGAGAGGCTCCAGCAGGCGGCGCTCCTCACAGCAGGACACACCGGAAGAAGCTGCTCCTCTTCTGCTGGTCTGAGGTGATCCTGACGCCCTGGCTGCTGCCCTGCGGGCTGTTGCCTTCCTGCAGTCACAGGGAGTTCCGCAGGTCAGCGCCAGCCTCGGCCCGGGGCTCTGGACCCAGCAGCCTCCTGCCAGGGCCACCCATGTCAACCAGCTCCCCATCCCCTGCCAGCCACCCACCCACCCGTCCATCCACCCATCCGTCCATCCACCCACCCACCCACCCGTCCATCCACCCACCCATCCACCCATCCATCCATCCACCCACCCACCCACCCATCCGTCCATCCACCCACCCACCCGTCCATCCACCCGTCCGTCCACCCACCCACCCACCTGTCCATCCACCCACCCACCCACCCGTCCATCCACCCACCCATCCGTCCATCCACCCACCCACCCGTCCATCCACCCACCCGTCCGTCCATCCACCCACCCATCCACCCATCCATCCATCCACCCACCCATCCACCCATCCGTCCATCCACCCACCCACCCACCCATCCGTCCATCCACCCACCCACCCACCCATCCGTCCATCCACCCACCCACCCACCCACCCATCCATCCATCTACCCATCCATCCATCCATCCATCCATCCATCCACCCAACCACCCACCCACCCATCCATCCATCCAATCTCCCACCCGCAGTTTCCTTCCTCCTCCCCGGGCACAGGCTCCGGGTCTGGCCGAGGCACTCACCAATTTCTTGTCCATTTTTGCTTTGATGTCTCTGGCGAGGGTGAAAAAGGCCTGTGGGATAAACGGATGGTTCGTGCTCCGCCACTCCAGCCCGTCTCCCTCCGGGCCCTGGCACCTCTTGCTAAGTTTGACAGCAGTTACACAGAGGGGCACTGGGCACTGGTAGGGAGTGGTTGGATCTGACGCAGTGGCCACCTGGTTGGCAGCCTCTTCAAGCAAACGCACCCCCCCAGCCTGCTCCCGCGTGGGGGTGTTAGGACACGGCACAGTCGCCATGACAACTGCAGAAGTAACCCTACAAGGAGAATAAGATGAACCCCTAGCTCCCAAAATCGGCTGTCCTTTTCCACAACAAATCTAATAAATGCTCTGCCCAAATGATAACCTGTTCCCCAGGACCCCTCCACTCAAAATATAGATCTGGAATCTACCCCCAGGTTTCGGGGGCAGGAAGGAAGGCGGCTGTCTTTAAAACCCTCCTGCTCCTGGCACCGGCCCAGGCCTGATTTCTCCCACCTGCTGTAAGCCGCAGGGCCGGCCCCAACCACGTCTTCCCACTATCCCGGTATCCGAGCCTGCTCCCAGGACAGCCTGCGGATCTGCAGAAATGCTGCCATGCTGGGTGCCTGCACCTGTGCACGGCGATGACACTACCAGGTGCCTGTAACTGTGTGTGGCGGTGACACCACGCCACAGCAGATGCTGCACCTACACATGGCGACCCCTCTGGTGCCCCCAGTCCACCCCCGGGCTGGACGCCGTCCATGCTGGGACTGAAGCTCCCTGGTGGCCTCCAGTCCACCCCCAGGCTGGGATGCTGTCCATGCTGGGACTAAAGCTCCCTGGTGGCCCCCTGTCCACCCCTTGGTCTGGGATGCCGTCCATGCTGCAACTGAAGCTCCCTGGCCCCCAGTCCACCCCCCGGCTGGACGCCGTCCATGCTAGGACTCACATTCTCCACGTTGATGTTGGCCTTCGCACTGGTCTCCATGAACTTGATTCCGTAGTCAAGGGCCAGCTGGGAAGGAAGGGGATAAGGCATGGGGTGGGTCAGCCACCAGGTGCTGCCCTGGCATGGAGTGCGTGTCACGGTGGGGAAGGGGGTGTGGACCCAGCCACGGCTGCATCCTGTCTGTTGTGACCTCCAGGGTGGGGCCAACAGCATACTGGGCGGGGGCACCTGCCGTGGTGGCCTCCATTCACTGGGGGAAAGAGCCACCCTGGCTGTCACCCTGGCCCCCTGCCCTGGCCCGGCTCCTTCCACGGCCGAGCTGGGGGCACCCACCTTCTCTTCCCCGCTCCCCGGCCCTGGTCCGGCTCCGTGCGCGGCCGAGCTGGGGGCACCCACCTTCTCTCCCCGCACCCCGGCCCTGGCCCGGCTCCTTCCATGGCCGAGCTGGGGGCACCCACCTTCTCTCCCCGCTCCTTGGAGACTTGGCGCTTGTCATTTACGTCACACTTGTTCCCCAGAATCATCTTTTCCACGTCGGCGGAGGCATGCTGGGGGAGGAGGGGCAGAGACGGGGTCAGGGCGGGTCCAGCGTGGCTGCTTGAGGTGGGTTTTCTGTAGGCACCTCAGGGCCTCTGGCCCCACCTTCTGAGTCAGCCCAGCGGCAGGCACCGGCCTCCTTCCAGGAAGACGGGGTGTGGCTGGCACTTTAGGGGACGATGGCCTTCTTCCCCACCCTGAGGTTCAAGGTCTCCTTCCACAGCCACCGTGTGGGGAGCACCTCTGAGCTCACACCCTGCCCGGGGCAGCTGAAAGTACAGCTTGCCACACCCTTCCAATGATTCCACAACCTTCCCTCTAGCGAGCAAGAGTGTGCATGTCCCTGCTCTCCGTGCAGCTGGGGGACCTGGTGAGGCCGGTCAGGCTGGGAACCGAGAGCCTGTGTCCCCCATGGCCTGCTCTCCGTGCCTGGGCAGCTGGGGGACCCGGCCAGGCTGGGAACTGACGGCCACCCGCCCTGCCCCATGTCCCAGCTCCTGGGCTCCGGGCTGTGGGAGCCCTGGGGCACCTCACCTCCTCAATGTTCCGAATCCAGTTCCGGATGTTGTCGAAGGACTTCTCATTGGTGATGTCATAGACCAGCATGATGCCCTGTGGGGGGAGAGGCATCCCAGGCCCTGACAGGTGGCAGTGGACAGGGACAGCAGGGGTCCCAGGAGCCAGCATCCCCTCCCCTTGCATCTGGCCGGGGTGAGGCCTGGCTTTGTGGGGCAGCCGCAGGCGGAATTCGAAAGTGGACACTCCCCACCCTGATGGGAGGCCCCCCGTGGGTGTGTAACCTTCTCAACTATGTAAACAATTGAAATCCAACCTGCAGGGGGCTCATCATAAGCTGGTCATTTTGGATGACCCAGGAGTGTGACCTGCGACCCTTCCCCACTGCCGGCCTGCACCCCACGCCCCAGGGGACACATGCTGGATCCAGGCTCTCCCTGAAGTCCCCTAAGGTGCCCTGCGACCCCCCACCTCTGCCTGTAAACTCACACCAGGACCCCAGTGGCTGCTCTGGCCACGTGTGATGTGGCTGGACCCGGAACCACGACAGTGGCAATGCCTTCTCATCCCTGCTCTCAGCTGCCTTCGACGCGTGGCCTGCATGGGCAAATCTTCCCCCCGCAAGCCCCAGCAGCCTGTATGGGCGCCAGTTCGTGTCCCAGCCGCTCCACTTCCCATCCAGCCCCTGCAGCCACGGGGGAGAACGGGAGGAAGCTCCTGGCTTCTAGCTTTGGCCTGGCCCAGTCCTGGCTGTTCCAGCCCTTCCGGGAGTGGAGGATCTTAATCTTTCTGTACCTTTCTGCTTTTCAAATCGATCAATCTTACAACAAACCAACAGGAACAGCTGAGGGATGATGGATGGGTCCCCTAGCATGGCACCCTGCTGCAGGCCTGGGCAACCGAGCCAGCGGCCAGCAGCCCAGAGCAGGTCGGGTCCTGGACGAGCATTAAGTTTTGGGCAGGTTCCACCGCGGCCGACGTGGGCTGCAGGGACACTCCGAGACGCTGGCCTCACCCCCAGAGAATTCGGCTGCCGAGTGGCTGGGCAGAGGGTGCCACCTCTGGCTTCAGAGTGCAGATAGCGGCTCAGACGTGCGGCCCTGACTTTCTCCCAAGTCTAACCGGGGACCAGGAGGGGTGGGGAGACCCCTGGTGCGTACCATTGCCCCCCTGTAGTAGGCCGTGGTGATGGTTCGGAAGCGCTCCTGCCCAGCCGTGTCCCTGGATGGAAGAAGAAGAGGGGGAGGTCACCAACAGCATGGCAGGACAGCTCAGCTGCCATGTAATGCCCCCGGGTCTACCTGTGCCCACAGAGCGGGGCCTGGTGCCTGGGGGGACCTGAACCCTGGGCTGCGTCTCCTCCGCACCAGGCTTCTAGCCATGGGAGTTGAAGTTGGTCGCGGGGAACATGGCCATGGTTGACAGGGCGGCTGAGGACACCTGGCTCCTGGGCCGGGCCCCTGGGCTTGGGTGACTCAAAAGGGTAGGCGGGGGCCAGTACCTACTAGCCAGGGAGCAGACACCTGGGGAAGAAGACACGGCTGTGCCTGGCTCAGTGGGCATTCAACATGTGAAGCCACATGTGGCTTTCCTGTGGCCCTGGGTGTCCCAGGGGCCTCTGTGCTCTGTACAGAAGTGCCCCCCTGGGACTGGCAGTCTCCCCTTTCACCTTCTGGGCTTTGCACCCGCAGGAAGCTGGGAACCAGGCGCAGCCAGGACTCATTGATGTGGAAGGCAGGCACCCTGGCCGGTGCTCTGATTAGGCCAGATGCCTGGGTGCCCACGGCAGGTGCCACGTGGGGGAGGGCTGGTTCCGGGCAGTCTCTTTGCTGACCTCGGCCCTGGTCTGCCTGGAAGAGCTTCAGGTTGCCCCACCCCGCCCGGGGCTGCTGAGGTGCGGGGCCAGGAAGGCGGGAGGCGCAGATGTAGTAGTTTGTTCCAAGTGTCACTTTGGACCTGGGCACGAGGCTGCTGTGGTGCCAGCGTGAAGGAGCTGCCGTCTGTGCGCTGGACGCTTATCGCGAGCCAAGAACACCTGGTGCCTCGGAGCAACCTAGGCCCTCTGATCTCCCTCCTTCCTGCGTCCCTCGGGTCGGGCTGTGAATGGCCGAGCCCCCCGACCCCCACCCTGGGGCTGTCTCCTCCTCCCTCCCTCAGCAGGCTGGCCGTGCTGCTCTTCCTCCGTGGCTTTCTTCAATAATTAACAGGAGAACCAACCCCGGCTGCTTAGTTCCACATAAGATGGTGATTAACAGGAGCCTGCATCCCCTGGCCTCTGTGACCAGCAGCTTTAGCCCCTGGCTTCTTGGGATGTAAAAGTCTGCGGGTTCTCAGACAGCGGTGGGCATCCTAAGAGCATGGAGAACGCCCACAGCGGAGTTTGACAAAGCCATGTCTCCGTGAAGCCTTTTTCTTGCTGTCCGTTCTATCCATCCTGCCACCAGCCTGTGGGGAACGGAGGAGCTCTGCCTCCTCATTGCCAAGGCGGCTAGAGATCAGCTTTATGGCCCGGCTCTGTGGGACGGCCAAGGCCCCCGCGGCTGGGGCCTACAGCCACCGGCTGTGGGAGGGTCGGGAGACACGCCACCAGGCAGGGTGGAGCGGGACGGCCCTTCGCCTGGCACTCCTCTGGGCTGCTGCGAGGGCTTCTACCATACTACCCCACCATTTTTCAACTTTATGGTGCAGCGTGTTGAGCCTCTGCGTGATGCCAACATTGTGTGTAAGTGCTGGTACCCACCTCCCACTCCTGTTCCCTGCTGATGTGCCTGGGAGAGCTCGGGTCCTTGGGCCCCCGCCATGCAAGTGGGAGACCCGGATGGAGTTCCTGGCTCCTGGCTTCGGCCCGAGCCAGCCCTTGCTGGAGCAGCCATTTGGACAGTAGGCCAGCACATGGAAGATACCTCCCTCTAACTCCGCCTTTCAAATAAACCAACCTTAAGGGACAGAGAGCTGCCATCTACCGAGTCGCCTGGGGCTGAGGCTGGCAGCGAGGAACCCAGTTTCCTCCGCCGTGCCCCGCTGCCTCTCGGCTGCCTAGGCTCGAACCAGCACCCGTATGGGATGCCGGGGCAACAGGCAGAGGCTTAGCCTGCAACGTCATGGTGCCAGCCCCTCAATTATTATTATTATTAAACAAACAGGTCTGGAACTAACCGTGCCAGGTACTGACACAGCTTTCCGGCCACAGTCCCTGGGCTAGAGAGGGGAGGCCACTTAAGGAGCTTTGGAAGAAAGCCCAGTATCCATGCTGGGTGCCAGGAGAGAGATGGTCCAGGTCTGGGGGCTCCTGGCTCTGAGATCTGGGCCCCGAGGGCTCCTAGAACACTCAGCCCCTGGGGCTCTTAGAACACTGGCCTACAGGGGTCCCAGCCCCCAGGGCTCCTAGAGCACTCAGCCCCCAGGGCTCACAGAGCACTCGGCCCCTAGGGCTCCTAGAGCACTCAGCCCCCAGGGCTCACAGAGCACTCAGCCCCTAGGGCTCACAGAGCACTCAGCCCCCAGGGCTCCTAGAGCACTCAGCCCCCAGGGCTCACAGAGCACTCAGCCCCTAGGGCTCACAGAGCACTCAGCCCCCAGGGCTCCTAGAACACTGGCCCACAGGGGCCCCCAGGGCTCCCGGACTCACCATATCTGTAGCTTGATTCTCTTGCCATCCAGCTCTATGGTCCGAATCTTAAAGTCAATTCCTGAAAGAACACAGGACCCGTCAGGGCCAGCCTTCCCGAGGGGCGGGACTCCCACTGCCTGGGGCTGGGGACAGAGGAAAACTGGAGGGTTGGCCGAGGGCATGGAGGTCTCTACATGACGCGACCAGGGGGAAAGCTGAGCCTGCTGATGGACAAACATCTGAAGTGTCACCTTCCGGGGGCAAAGCTGCTGGCACTGTAGCACTGTGGCTGAAGCCGCCACCTGCCATGCTCGCCTCCCACGAGGGCACCAGTTCAAGTCCCAGCTGCTGTACTTCGGAAGATCCAGCTCTCCCAGGATGGCAGGAAGGTGGCCCAAGGGCTTGGGCCGCTGTCACCGGCATGGGGGACCCGACAGAGTTCCAGACTCCTGGCTTTGGCATGGCCCAGCCCCAGCTGCTGCAAGGATTCTCTCTCCGTCTCTCTCGAATACAGAAAATCAAGCTGCCTGCCTTGTTCTCTGTGCCCGCCCCGAATCCAGTGAGGACAGGTCCTGCCTCACGGACCCCTTCAGGACACACACACGCTAACACACTCACACCTCCTCGCCCATAGCCCCACACCTGTTCTTTTAGAACAAAACTCCCATCTCTGGACAAGTTCTCTCCTTGCACAGCCACCCGCTCAGGGCCCTGCCCACGTCCAGTGGCACCTTCCTGGTCGTCCCCTCTCCCTGACCTGATGTGCTCCGTGAACCTGGCCGCTCTGGAGGGCAAACAGCCGACCCTCAACTGGACGCTCAGCCCAGCTGTGAAGCTCTGTCCAGAGGGTGGGTCTGGCTACCCTGCACCTGCCATGGAACTGCTCCTTCTGGCCGGCCCTTAGGCCGCGTTCATTTCACCACATCCTTGCTACACCACGAGGCCCCGGGCTCCACATGGATGGAGGGATGGAGCAGCTGGCCAGCAGAACACAGGGCCAGCCACAGGGCGAAAGGCACCTCTGCCAACATCACCCGTCTTTGCAGGAGGAGCGTGTCTCCGAGGCGGAGGGGGGAGGCAGCAGGTTGGGGACCGAGCCAGGCTGGTAGAGAACGGCCTGCAGGAGCCCCGGGGGCCAAGTTTACACCACAGAAGATGGATGGAGCTGAGAACAGTTCCCCGGGGAAGGAAATGAACAGCCAGTCAATCGCTCATCGATTAGGGAAGCCCAGAGGGGCACTTGGTGCCAGCAGCTGATGGCCAGCGTGCGTTCGGCAGTGTGCCAGAGGCCGTCTGTGGCGGGGGGTGTGTGTCTGTGTGTTTTCTCTCACCTGCCAGGCTCCCCCCAAAACACCCATTAATCTTGGGCTTCTCCTGGGTCTTACAAACACACTGGGAGCCATGAGCAATTATGAACTTCATGAGGCCTGTAACCGTCAAGGTCATTACCAATCACACTCTCCCCTTAGGAAGGTTATAGACGCAGCCAGTAAGAATATGATGGTGGAGGGATCAAGTGCGACCCCACCTCACAAGGCAACCTTGACCAAGTCACATCCCCTAGGTACCTCAAGTGCCACATTGTCCCAGAGCCCTTCAACGACCAGAGCGGGTGCTGTGGTCCAAAAGAAGACCCAACCCACGCCTGGGCCCCCCCACGTCTGTGCTGGGAGTCAGGGACTCAAGGGTGCTGGAGGCAGCAGTGTTTCCGGGTTGGTGGGAGCTTCCCAAGCGTGGGCAGGGGCAGGGGGCAGCAGGGGTGTGCCACCATGCATCCTGGGCCAGCACAGAGAGCAGGGACCCCCAGGCTGAGGGGCGGCGCTGACTCTGGGGTGCGCGGCCCCTTCCTCCTCTGGTGGGGAGTCGGGGCAGGCGAGCCCGGTCCGCATTGCCTGGCTGAGCCAAGTGGCTATCTACATTTCCTCAATCTGGGGTCAAGCCCTGAGCCCGGGCAGCAGGCTTCGCTTCCCCTTTGCCCCAGAACTACCACCCAGCTCACACCCACCACAAGGCCAAGGCCACTGTGCATCACAGGTCGGGCTGTTAACCGCTGATCACGCAGGTAAGTTAGCCAACATCAGCAGAGAAGACGGAACAAAGCATGGCCAGCACTGGGGCAGGGGGGGTGGCGACAGCCAGGGGTGTGAGGGTCTGTGCCTGTGGGGTGACAGGGTGTGAGGGCCTGACCCTGTGGGTGACAGGGGTGTGAGGGCCTGTCCCTGCGGGGGTGATAGTCAGGGGTGTGAGGGCCTGTCCCTGTGGGTGACAGTCAGGGGTGTGAGGGCCTGTCCCTGTGGGTGACAGGGGTGTGAGGGCCTGTCCCTGCAGGGATGACAGTCCCACAGTGACACAGGGGTGTGAGGGCCTGGGCATTACAGAGGGGCGAAAAGTGAGTAAAAGCAGAGGAGGAGTGGGCTGGCTGACATGTCCTCTCTTCCTTGCCACCTGCCGGGCATGGTGTGACCTTGAGCAAGCCCCACGCCCTCCCTGAGCCTCAGAAGGCTCCTCTGCAAGGTGGGCTCGCGTGGTCCCCCCAAGAAAGCACCTGGCCCACGGCGACGCCTCCCACTTCTGCCACTCAGACACCCCAGCCATGAAGGACTTGCAAAGTTGCTGCGAGGCTAGAACAAGCGCATGGGTGCCAGGACACACACACAGAGCAGGCGAGACTGTCTACCCTAGGCCCCCTGCCAGCCTCCCTCCACCCCTGTGCCCCTGCAGCTGGTCCATGCCTCAGCCCAGCCTGCCAGCCTCCCTCCACCCCTGGGCCCCTGCAGCTGGTCCATGCCTCAGCCCAGCCTGCCAGCCTCCCTACACCCCTGTGCCCCTGCAGCCGGGTCCATGCCTCACCTCAGCTCCTCAGGGGCATGCCCACCCCAGTCTGTCAGCTTCCCTCCACCCTCTGCCCTGCAGCTGGCTCCCCGCCTCGCTCAGCCCCTCGGCCTCCCTCCACCCTCTGCCCCTGCAGCCGGGTCCATGCCTCACCTCATGCCCCCGACACCGTAGGCATCACCCCTGCCAGCCTCTCTCCACCCTTCTGCCCCTGCAGCCGGGTCCACGCCTCACCTCATGCCCCCGACACCATAGGCATGACCCCTGCCAGGCTCTCTCCACCCTTCTGCCCCTGCAGCCGGGTCCACGCCTCACCTCATGCCCCCGACACCATAGGCATGACCCCTGCCAGCCTCCCTCCATCCTCTGCCCCTGCAGCCGGGTCCACGCCTCACCCCAGCCCTTCGGGGCGCGCCCACCCTAGGCCGCCCCGCACCACCGGCGGCGGGAGGGAGCTGCTCGACCCCTCTCGGAGCCCTGCGCCCCTGCAGCCGGGTCCAGGGCTCAGCCCAGCCCTGCCGGGTCCAGGGCTCAGCCCAGCCCCTCGGACCGCGCTCGGCCCCCGGCCGCTCCCCCAGCCCCGTTACCTATGGTGGAGATGAACGTGGAGTTGAAGGCGTCCTCGGAGAAGCGGAACAGGACACAGGTCTTCCCCACCCCCGAGTCCCCGATCAGCAGCAGCTTGAACAGGTAATCGTAGGTCTTCGCCATATTACACTCTCTCCCCGACGGGAAGTGCGGCCGGGGCCTCGCCACTGGCCGCTGGACCCGTCCATCAGTACCCAGCCCGCCTCCTATTGGCTCCTGGCCCGCCGCGCGTCACCGCGGCCGACGCCCGCCCCGAGCCCCGCCCGTCGCGGGAAGATCTGGGGAAGGGGCGAGCGGAGCGCCGAGCCGGAAGCAGCTCGAGCGTGCCTCCCATTGGCTGCCGCTCAGTACAGGGCGGGCTATGATTGGCCAGCGGTGAAGAGTCGAGGGGCTTCAAACAGGGAACGGGGCGGGAGGGGGAGGGGTGTGGCATCGCTTGGCCCCGCCTTCTCCTCCCTCGACGCCAGGGAGGCCCCGCCCCATGTCGGAAAGGGGCGGGGCGCCAGCGCGGCCAACGGCTTCGCGCGCTGCCGGCGAGGGGCGGGGCCGGCTGGGTGCGCGCACGCGTACTGGGGCGGTCGTTGGGCGCCAGCAGAGGGCGCACGCACGCAGTGGTGGTGGGGGTACGTCGGGCCCTGCGCAGCCGCAGTAGGCGCCACGGCGAGCGCGGGAAGTGGGCGGCCAGGGAATGAATGGGGTGGCGGGTCAGGTCGGTGGGAGATGAGGAGCCCAGGACGGGAGACACGTGCCGGCTGATGGAAATCTGCAGGCCTCCCTCCGCCCGCTGACCGCCACAAGCCGCGCCTTCAGCTGCCCAGCCGGCTCCCTGGGGCGTGCCCCCCACTTGTACACACCAGGATCCTATGTGGGCACTGGTTCTAATCCCGGTGGCCCCATTTCCCACCCAGCTCCCTGCCTGTGACCTGGGAAAGCAGTGGAGGACGGCCCAAAGCCTTGGAACCCTGCACTCTTGTGGGAGACCTGGAAGAAGCTCCTGGCTCCTGGCTTCAGATCAGCTCAACTTTGGCCATTGTGGCCACTTGGGGAGTGAACCAGTGGATGGAAGATCTTTCTCTCACCCCTCTGTAAATCTGCTTTTCCAATAAAAACGAGTCTTTCTAGAACAGTGTAATTGCCACAAGAGCCCCGTGAGGTAGGTGTTTACTGTTGATTTCTCCCCATCTTCTGGTGAGAAGAGGGGCGCAGGAGGCTGGCAGTGGGCTCTGCAGGGGGCAGCAGTTGGGCTGGGGACTCAGACCACAGAGCACAGAACCGCTGGAGTTTCTTCCCAGAGATGGCCCGCTCTCTGGTGGGGCACCCTGGACCCAGAGGGCCTTGCGGGAGGGCTCTGGCGTTGCCCACTCCCTTCATGTCCTGCCGAGTGGAGACATGTGTGGGACTCACCGCTGGCTGCTGCCCGCCAGCCACGCCCGTCGCCTCGTGGGCCTTGGCTGTGTAAGCGCTTCCTGGTCCTGTGTGTTCCATGCACGGAGACGGCTCTCACTGCATGGCCAGCCACTTTCACTTCCGCTTGGCCTTTCCGGATGCTCCGGACATAGCGTGCCACGACGGGTCCCGCTGACTCAGGTGCACATCCTGACACTGGCCATCTCTCACATCCTGCTTACAGTCTGGCTCTCCGTGGCCACGGTCACAGCATCACGGCCTGCCTGTCCGTTTTGCACTCCGCAGTGTGCCCATGGACAACACGAGGCCGGTACTTCCCTGCGGGCCCCGAGCAGGAGCCCACACGGCCTTGCCCTCGCCTCACCCGCACGGCATGGGAGCTGTGACACTTGAGTTTCACAAACGTGGCACCTTTCCGTTAAATGCTGAGAAACAGGAGTGACTGGAGCAGAACCCAGACTACAGCCTGGGCGGATGAAGACACAACACTACAGCAGACGCGCGTGTTCTGAACGCCTTAACTGTACTTCAAACACTGACTTCCCTATTACAGGAGCGTTTGAAAGGCTCTCAATTCCTCTTGGAGCTCCTGCGTGCCCGCTGCGGTGAAGACCTAAATGGCCGATCGAAGCAGTTCAAGTCGTGAGCCTAGTGGACTCGCGCTGTCCGAGTTGCCTACCATCGAGTCGGCAAGCAGGATCGCTGCCTGCCCTCTCCGTGGCAACCACTGTTTATGTATGAAACATTTGACCCGCCTTCCTGCTTGCCCGTACAACCCCCCGCTCTAGTCCTTCCTGAAACGAATGCTCAGTGGATTTCCTCGTCTCGGCTTCTTCTCTTTGAATCTCTTTCAGGTTCTTACCAGCGTGGATATGACCTTCATCAGGACGCCTTGTCTGGGCAGGCCTCCTGCCTCTCCAATCCCACGGCACGGACCACGTGTTTGGACCGTCTACGAAACCCTGCTTGTTCCCCAGCTGTGCCCGGGGTGCTGGCCAGGTGTTCTCGCCTGCGGGGGGGGGCGTAATTCCTCTCTCATGAAGTCATCCTGTTAAGCCAAATAACTTCTACTACATTCTTGGACCCGCCCACTTCCCTTCGCATCCACTCGCGTTCATGGAACTGAAATTCACACCCATGGGAGTTTCTGTAAAAATTTATTTGACCAAAATGTAGAAAAAGGTGATACTATTACATATGATACAGTCGCAAGAATCTTAAAGAAAAGTGTGGGTTTTTATTTTCAATTGCACAATTTGCTAGTGTGCCTCCCAGAGGGGCGGGTAGTGTGGTGCTTAATAAATAGGAGGGGGCAGGGGGTTCAGATAAGCTGGAAGCAGGGCGAGTTTCGTCAGATTTGTAAACTTGGAGTCGGCCCCCACGCGCTCAGGGAACATGGAATGTTTGAGCTCTGAGATGTTATCCGAGAAAGCGGAAATCGAAAAAGCTACAGTGTGCAGTCGCTGCCTACGATACGCCCCACCATCCAGTTCAATCAGGAGGTTGCTTTTTTTTTGGTCTCGTTAACTTGGTCCTGAAGAAGGAATCCCAAAGTGCTAAGACAAAAAGAAACCATCACTTTGCGATTTCCCTCAGCTATGGAGATGAAGCGAAAAACAAAAAGTACCTCGCCCCTCCTGCCCAACCTATAGGTGGTACGGATGGCCGGATGGCCGACCTGAACAGGACTGTTCCGGTCACCGTGGGAGTGAAGACACCCGCTCCTGAGAGAACCACTTGAGGACGCAACAAGGTAACAGCACAGAAGCCATGCAGGCTCCTGGGGGAGTCCGGGGGCCACTCCCCAGCGCGCTCACGCACAGCTGGCTGTGGTCAGGGGCCAGCTGCTTTACAGCGCCCCAGCACAGCCTTTTTTTCTGCCCCCTGCTCTGAGTGGAAAATCCCCACCCATTTTCCTGCGATGGCGCCAAGCCTCCTGGAGTCTTAGCATCTGAAACCAACCCATGACCTGACAGATGAGTTGAGTCTGTCTCCTCGAGAAAGTGGGGTTGGCCCATTCTCCCGGAGTATAGCTCAGTGTGGGTCACCCTGCCTCACCTAGGAACATACGCAACTTCAGGATTAAAAATAGAGCTGAAAAAGCCACTTTGGGGGCGGGGGGGGGGGGGAAGAAAGAAAGAAAGGCTTTAGATTTAACTGGTGCTCAAAGCTTCTCTAGTATATAAAATATTTGGTCACGCGTTCATAATGAGCGTGATGTTTCCAGCAAAGTCGAAGACGCAGGGGCACACGGGCTCTGCAGCTGGTCGGAGCACGCCGCTGCCACTGTGGCTTATATACAGTTCAGTTCGTTTAATGTCTGGTCCAGTGTTTGATGCAAGCCCACATTCTCTTCTTTGGCCTGGGCGAGTTTTTCTGGTGAGGATGAAGAGGGGGAGGAATAAATCAATACACCTTTTTGTTCAAGGAAAGCAAACACATTCTCTAGCGAAAAAAACCTATCCGAGGAGACCATTCTCATTTTAAGAAAAGCAATAAAACCAAGCAAGAGCAGGGCCCCAGCGCCATCTCTGCGGGTCAGGCTGCCCAGTGAAACGCAATTTCAGATAGATGAACCAACAACCGCCTGGTACAAGCCCATTCCAAATGTTGTGTAAGATGTACACTAATGCCCCCCAAACCACCTGTGGCCTCTCTGAAACTCAAATTTGTTTTTCTCTTTCTGTTTTTTATTGGAAAGGCAGATTTATTTAGAAGGAGAGACAAAGAGAAAGATCTTCCACCCACTGGTTCACTCCCCAAGTGGCCATAATGGCCAGAGCTAAGCCGATCTGAAGCCAGGAGGTGCCAGCCTCTCCCGGGTCTCCTAGGCGGGTGCAGGGTCCCAAAGCCTTGGGCCGTCCTCCACTGCTTTCCCAGGCCACAGGCAGGGAGCTGGGTGGGAAGTGGAGCAGCCGGGACTTGAACCGGTGCCCACATGGGGATCTTGATGTGCTCAAGGTGAGGGTTTAACCACTGAGACATCGCGCTGGGCTCTGAAACTCACATCTCACATACTACTTGGCATCTTGGCTAAACTTGGTGACCTTGGAGCCATGAAACCTTCCTGGGTGGATTCCTCTGTCATCAAACAGGCTTCGCCAGGGAATCCTTGACAACTTTCCAACCGTGACAGTTCAGACACTGGTGCTCGAGGAGGCCGACCCAACACATTTCTTTGTGTTAATGAGTCATGCAGCCTTGGTAAGAACGTACGATCTTGTCACACGCCCTTCCTTAGCCGTTTCTGGAAAATGTGTGTGTGTGTGGAACCAGACCCATGCCATGCAGAGGCAACACGGCTGAAACCGGCACATTGTGGAAAGGTGCTGCTGGGGCAGAGGCTGCGGCATTGCACGTAAAGCCCCCATCTGCTGGCCTCCCACAGGGGGGCGCCGGTTCTAGTCCCGGCTACTCCACTTCCCATCCAGCTCCCTGCCTGTGGCCTAGGAAAGCAGTGGAGGACGGCCCACAGCCTTGGGACCCTGCACCTGCGTGTGGGAGACCCGGAAGAAGCTCCTGGCTTCGGATGACTCAGCTCTGGCCATTATGGCCACTTGGGGAGTGAACCATCAGATGAAAGATGTTTATATCTTCTTCTCTCTGTATATCTGCCTTTCCAATGAAAATAAATAAATGTTTGAACTGGACAGACTGAACTTTGGATGGCCTTGGAAAAATCCAGAAGTTTCTGGCCACACCAAGCACGACCTTGTAACCCTCACGGGCGTTATGAACAGACAAGGTGCCTGATGACAGCAAACACACACCAGCACCTCAGGAGCCCTTGCTTGGAACTCCCTGAAGAAATCCCGTCACTTCTGTGACAACACAGCCACGCCACTGCCTTTGCCTGCTCTGGAATGTTCTTCAATTCACTGCACAAGCCAGTTCCCTCCCAGGGCTGAGCACTGGAGGTGCTTCCCCAGGGACAGGGAAGACACAGGGAACCCCAGCCAGGGCCCAGAGTGGGAACAGAACACCCACGCAGCGCTGTTGTCAGGAGACCCGGACCCCACCCGTGTCGCCTGACCACATGGCTTCTCCCACCCCCCCCGCGGCAGGCTCGCGTCAGACACAGGCCTGCTGTGTGTGTGTGTGTGTGTTTTTGCAAGTTCTGTTCATTCTTTTTTAAGTTGCCAAAAAAATGGTTTAGAGAGATGACAGTCTCCATTTGAAACGATGGCTATTTAAGGGACCAACAATTGGCCCGCGACCCAGTTGGCGAAGGCGAGCTCTGGCCAAACTGGCTTTCATTTTCACGGCTTCGGGGAAGGATCACGTGGGCACGGTATGATCTTACTCGGGAGAGTTGGTAACCACCCACTTTCTCCCGACCACGGACACACGCCGATGGCTCAAAGGCGGCAAAGAGAGAGGATCGACTGGAGAGGAGGTATACACACACACACACACACACACACACACACATACACACACACACGCGCCCGCGCTGTCACGCGTGGAAAGGCAGCGGAGGATGGACCAGATCCTCGGGCCCCTGCACCCACGTGGGACAGCCGGAGGAGGCTCCTGGCTTTGGACCGTCCCAGCTCCAGCTGCTGTGGCCGCTTGGGAAGTGAAGCCGCGGATGGGAGAGCTGGCTCTCTCTCTCCCTTCTCTATTTCAAATGGACAAGTTAAAAGAAACAAATAAAGAACAACGACAGGAGGAAACCAATAAGAGCCTAGAGGAGGGTGGTGCGTTCTGCAAAGCAAATGGGAAAAAATACCCCACCCCAAGACCTATGGGATGTCACGTGATCTCAGCTAACCCCCTAGACCTGTGGGGGCTGGCACCTGGTCTCGGCTAACGCCTAGACCTGTGAGAGGTGTCATGTGGTCTTAGCTGTGAAGCAATTAGCCCGTCACCTGCCCAAGAAGGGCACCTAGCATGCACAGAGCTTCCCGCTCCACCATCTGCCTGGGTGAGATTTCAGATTTCCAAGGGTGTCCCAAGGCCAGAGGTGAGACATCAGAATAGGGCAGTTTCCCCTCCCATGAAACCACACTTCCATTTCCCAAATCACACTCTGGGGGCGACGGGGCTGGGGAGACGCAAAAGATGTGTGGGATCAACCCCTTCCGAGTTCCCCAGTCTGTCTCCCGGGAGGACAGAGCGGATGTTCCACGTGGGACCCCTCCGAGCAACGTCGGCTCCTCCGTGGGCGCCAGCGTCTCCACGGGAGCGACTCTGTCCGTGTCTCTGTTTTCTCACACTGGGAAAGGCCTGCAGCTCTGTGACACGGCTGCTACAGAACGCCAGGCATCTCTCCTAGAAATAAGCCCACTGCAGACAATTCTAAGCCCTTCCCCGCTCTCACGTCACTGTCCCCGCAGGCCAAGGCCAGCCCGGCTCTCGCACACCGCGCCTTCGGCTGTGGTGGGGGCGGGCGGCGCACAGAGCCGTCTGCACGGATGCTCTCCTACCTTCGAGGTCGTCAATGGTCTTCTCCAGTTTTGCAACCGTTCTCTCTGCGAATTCAGCACGGGTCTCGGCCTGCGGTGTGGGGAGGGACGCATAGGCGCTCATCAGCTCAGGGCCATCGCTGGGGACGGGGGTGTGTGGGGGGCGTGGACTGGGCACACATACTCACCTCCTTCAATTTGTCCGACAGAAGTTTAATTTCTTCTTCATATTTATCCTCCTTTTCAGAATACTGTGGGGGAAACAACGTGCCGTGTTAGCGGGAGGGAAAAAGGCATAAAAAGATAGAGGTTCCTATTTCTGGAAGCAAAGGGGCCATGAGGCTCTTTGGAGACGGGCAAGTCTGTGCCCAGGAAGTGGGCACCTTCAATGACGCTGTGAGGAGGGACAGAGACGGGCAGGTTTTGCACGGACAGCGGGCACTGTGCAGGGAGCGGGAATGCACTGCCTCAACGCCAAGATCTGCCATGCTCTGGGCTTGGGCGGGCTTGCTGGTCCATCAGCAGAGGAGGGACGCAGACAGGCAGGTCACCATACGGGCCCCAGTTCAAATCCCGGCTGCTCCACTTCCCATCCAGCTCCCTGCTTGTGGCCTGGGAAAGCAGTGGAGGACGGCCCAAAGCCTTGGGACTCTGCACCTGCCGTGGGAGACCTGGAAGAAGCTCTTGGCTTTGGATCGGCTCAGCTCTGACCGTAGTGGCCATTCTGGGAGTGAACCAGTGGAAGGAAGATCTTTCTGTCTCTCCTCTCTGTAAATCTGCCTTTCCAATGAGTCTGCTGCGAACCGCCGTCTGACTCGGGCCAGCCCCCAACCTTTTCTGACGCGGCCTCCAGTGACTTCAGGTTGTTTGTGACATTCTTAAGTTCCTCTTCTAAGTCACCACATTTTCTGTCCAAAAAAGAGAGAAAAGGATTTAAAAGGTTTTTTTTTTTAAGGCAATTCCCCCTAACAAGACAAGGAAACACTCAAGCTTGCCCTGGGTCCCCAGAAGGAATGTGTAAGTGGGGGGAAAAAAATGCTAGTGGATTTTTCCCAGCCTCACTGCTGTGTAGGCATCAAAGGGCTGTCACAGTCATGCCAGGCAAGGGCCGGGCAGGTCCAGGAGCTCATGGAGGGTTTGTTAAGCATTCCTGGGAATCCGCCAAAGGGGTGAAGCAACAGATTGTGAAATGTGGGCCGTAGCAGGCCAGCTCCGGAAGGTGCCGGGAGTGAGTGGGAGCGCGGAAGGCTGGGAGGCAGATCTGGGAACCTCATCTCCGTCTTTGCCGAGTCCTCACCCCCGGGGGCGGATAGGCCTCGTCTGTCTGCGGGAACCTGGGAGCTCTGTCAACCCTCTCCAGCATCTCCCCAAGACCGCAGTGTTGCCAAAAGGTGACATCAGGAGCCAGGCAATTCTGACTGACGGTGCTGGGGTGGCCTATCTTCTAGGGAAAAATGGCACCTGTGGGCTTCAGGACATGGCCACCTCCCCCTGTGACCTGATCCACAAAGCTACAAGCCAGGATGGCTCTCAGGACCCGCTCAGGGGGCCACAGCTACCCCAGTCCTGCTCGGCCACTCACAGCTCGGACACCTCGGCGCGCTCCTCTGCCCTTTCCAGCTCGCCCTCCAGAATGACCAGTTTCCGGGCCACCTGTAGAGACAGACAAACCCACCTGCAAGGGACAGTCCTCCTGCGGCCCCGCCCACCTGCCATGGACCGCCCTCACCTGCAGCCCCGCCCACCTGCCATGGACGGCCCTCACCTGCAGCCCCGCCCACCTGCAAGGGACAGTCCTCCTGCGGCCCCGCCCACCTGCCATGGACCGCCCTCACCTGCAGCCCCGCCCACCTGCCATGGACCGCCCTCACCTGCAGCCCCGCCCACCTGTCATGGACTGCCCCCACCTCACCACCCCAGCAGCCCAGGCCAGCTTCCCCCCAGCTGCCCCTCCCTCACCTCCTCGTATTTCCGGTCGGCTTCCTCGGCGATGTGCTTCGCCTCTTTGAGCTGCATCTCCTGAATCTCCATCTTCTCCTCATCCTTCATGGCCCGGTTCTCGATCACCTTCATTCCCCTGCAAGGAGCGGAGCGCCCTGCTTCAGCAGAGCCGTCCAGCTGCCCAGCCGGCAGCACTGTCCCCCGCCTGGCACCTGCACCCGGCCAGCAGCACTGTCCCCCGCCTGGCACCTGCACCCGGCCAGCAGCACTGTCCCCCGCCTGGCACCTGCACCCGGCCAGCAGCACTGTCTGCACACCCGGCCAGCAGCATCGTCCATCTGCCTGGCCAGCAATGCCATCCGCCCGCCCGCCTGCCCGGCCAGCAGCGCCATATGCCTGCCTGTGCACCTGCACGTTGTTGGCCGAGTCCCCTGTGGCAAAGCAGAGCCCTGCACGGCAGCCATGCCGACCACTGGACACTGTCCTCCTGGCCTTAACCTGCCTGGCCACCATGTGACCCAGATACTCAGATGCCACGCCATTTGCTTATTTAAAGATATTTTAATTCTGGGGGAATCCCAGAGCCTATGCTGTGTCACATAATGCAATGTAATTAATAAAAAATATATTTTAATTCACTTATTTGAAATGCAAAACGAGAGAGAGAGAGAGATTGAGAGCAAGATCTTCCACGGGTTTATTCACTCCCCAAGTGGCCGCAGTGGCTGGAGCTGAGCCAATCTGAAGCCAGGAGCCAGGAGCCTCCTCCAGGTCTCCCACGTGGGTGTAGGGTCCCAAGGCTGTGGGCCGTCCTCCACTGCTTTCCCAGCCACAGGCAGGGAGCTGGGTGGGAAGCGGAGTGGCCGGGACATGAACTGGCGCCCACACGGGCTGCCGCAATGGGGGACGAGCGGTGTTGAGGGCTGGGCAGCCATGGCCGAGAGCGTTAAGAAAGGGACAGTAGCGTGCAGGAGCTGGAAGGGAGATGGGAGTGGCGGGACCAGAGGTGTGGGCACAGACTGAATGTCCCTGGCTGGGGAAAAAAATCCCAGCCTATCCACTCCACCGGGAACGGGTTGCCATGGAAACGCCAGCCTGCCTGGACAGGTCTGCGCAACAACAGGTGTGTTTGAAACGGTAAGACATCAAAGTCAGACGCAACCAGCGTGCACACGGCCCTTCCTGCCTCAGTGCACACGGCCCTTCCTGCCTCAGTGCACACACTGCCCACGCTGGTCCCACCTGCCCCTCTTTCCTACCACCCTAGAAGCCGGTGTCCCCAGATCCCAGGACCAGGAGCCGTGTCTGTTCGGCGCACACCCACAACACACTGGCCGGCTACGGCGTCCTCACCTCTCGCTCTCGTCGGCCGCCTTCTCCGCCTCCTCCAGCTTCTGCAGGGCCGTGGCCAGGCGCTCCTGAGCCCGGTCCAGCTCCTCCTCCACCAGCTGGATGCGTCGGTTGAGAGCTGCCACATCGCCTTCGGCCTGCGGGAGGACAGAGGGGCAGGGTGAGAAGGAGAAGGCACAGCTGGCCCAGCCCGCCCTCCACACCCAGCGCCCACGTGGCTGCGGAAACCACGACTTGAGGGGGTTCTTTCAGGGAACACCCACTTCCCCCACCACAACCAGGGGCACAGATTCCAGTTCCACACCCACGCCCTGGTCCTGCCGCCCCTCAGGACGGGCTGCAGTGCACACTGCTCCCAGGGGGACCCTGGGAATCGGGCCATGGAGGACCTGCCGAATGCCGTCTGCACCCACCCACACAGATGGAGAGCTGAATTCAAGCACAGACGGCCTCAGCTAACGGAGGCCACATGGTCAGTGAGGCGAGAGACACTTCCGCCTTGGCACAGGAAGGCATGAGGTACCGGTCTGTGGGTCAACCGCCTATGACCCTGGCACCCCTAGTGAAAAGTCCTGGCTGTTCTGCTTCCAATCCAGCACCCCACTCATGGCCTGGGAAGCCAGCAGGTCACGGCCCCAGCGCTTGGGTCCCTGGCACCCATTGGGGAGAGACGGACGGAATTCATGGCTCCCTGGCACTTCCCTAGGCTGCGCATGAAACCAAGAATCCAAAGTGAGAACACTGCCCCGCTGGTTGGTCGGGAGCCTGGGCCTTGGTGCCACAGGCTGGCTCCATCCCCGAGCGCCCTGGAGCCCGCGGACACGGGAAGCACCCCTGCGGGTGGGCGGGGATGGGTCCTGGCACACCCTACCCACGGAGCACGGGATGACAGAGCCATGCATGGGGCTGGCATGGAATGCCACCTTGAGCCCCAGGCCCGGGTGTCTCCCCTTGGCCCCAGGGGCTTTGAGCCCCAGGCCCGGGTGTCTCCCCTTGGCCCCAGGGGCTTTGAGCCCCAGGTTCGGGTGTCTCCCCTTGGCCCCAGGGGCTTTGAGGCTCAGGCCCAGGTGTCTCCCCTTGGCCCAAGGGGCTTTGAGGCTCAGGCCCAGGTGTCTCCCCTTGGGCCCTGGGGCTTTGAGCCCCAGGCCCAGGTGTCTCCCCTTGGGCCCTGGGGCTTTGAGCCCCAGGCCCAGGTGTCTCCCCTTGGGCCCTGGGGCTTTGAGCCCCAGGCCCAGGTGTCTCCCCTTGGGCCCTGGGGCTTTGAGACCTGGCCATGTGGACTCCACCAAGGGGAGAGGTGAAGGCAGCAGGCATGTTAGGATCCCGCCTGGAAGGCAGTCCCAGAGGCTCTGCTTCTGATACAGCTTTCTGCTGATGTGCTGGGAGAGCAGTGGGTGAAAAGTGCCTGGGAGACCCGGGGGCAGCTCCGGCAGCTGCAGCCGTTATAAGGAGTGATCCGGCAGATGCAAGATCTCTCTCTCTCTCAAGCTGATAAATAAATCTTTATTTAAAAAACGCAGCCTGGCGCTATAGCCTAGTGGCTAAAGTCCTCTCCTTGTATGTGTTGGGATCCCATATGGGAACCTGTTCTAATCCCGGCTGCTCCACTTCCCATCCAGCTCCCTGCCTGTGGCCTGGGAAAGCAGTGGAGGACGGCCCACAGCCTGGGGACCCTGCACCCACGTGGGAGACCAGGAAGAAGTTCCTGGCTTTGGATCAGCTCAGCTCCAGCCATTGCGGCCACCTGGGGAGTGAACCAACAGCTCTTTCTGTCTTTTCTCTCTGTAAATTTGCCCTTCCAATAAGTCAAATAAACAAACATTAAGAAATAAACACACACACCTCACTGAGGTGGGGTGGGCATCCGACCTGGTTAAGTGAGTGCCACCTGGGACTCCCGAGCCCTGCATCTCAGTGCCCAGGGTCCAGTCCTGGCCCCAGCTCCCTGCTCACAGGCACCCGGGGGGAAAGCCACAGGGGACAGCTCCAGGGTCTGGGCCTCTGCACCCACGGGTGAGATCCGGCTGGAACTCCTGGCTGCAGCCTGGCTCAGCCCTGGCTGTTGCAACCAGAGGATGGGAGCTCTGTGCCTTCTGCCTCCTCTCCCCGCCTCCCCAAATAAAACTTGAAAATTCATGCCAAGAACTGCAACACCTTCCCGGCGAAGGCGGGCGGGTGGACTCGACGTTCTGTGAAGGAATCCCATGCAGAGGCACCGTGCTTCCAGCACCGGTCCCTGGAAGCCGCTGGGACCTCTTAGTCACTGGGGACTCCGCCCCTCCCTCCCCGCGCACACCCAGCCACCGGCTACAAAGGATTTTCCTTATAAGGCCAAAGACATTTGCTGGATGCGGCTAAGGAACAGGAAGACGGCGGTTAATCACACACAAAAATCTAACCGAAGCCAGCTGTTGGGAGGCGGGCCCAGTCTGCGGGCCACCCGCTGGGGCTCTCTCTCTCTCTCTCTCTCTCTCTCTCTCTCTCTCTCTCTCTCTCTCCCACTCTGCATTCAGCATCTTCAGCGGCGCCCAGCACACACGCGGCTCCCTCCCCAGTCCGTGGAGTCTTGGCTGGAAGGCCACGGTCCTGTCCCCCAGCCAGAGGCCTTGCGGGTGAAGAGGAGCGACACACGCCAGGGCAGCTACCGTGTGCGCCAGGCGCGCGCACGATCCAACGCTGCAACTCCAGCTGGCTGAACCCCACAACTTTCAGGCCTCCGAGTCTTCACACTCCAGTTCCGTAGCCCCCTCCCCCCAAAAAAACTTTCTTCACTAGTTCTATCTACACCCCAACCCCACCCCCCACCATTTCCAGCGTGGAGGGAGGACGCAGAGGCATTGATGGAGCAACTACAGCTAGGCACCAAAGCCACACAGCTGGCACGCGGGAGGGCATGTCCCCTGCGGTGCCAACATCCCACTTTTCCCTCCCCATCCCCGGGACGGGCGAAGAGGAGGTGGGCGGTGAAGCCCCCTCCTCTTTCAGAGTTACTTGGCTCCAGCCCCAGAGGTGAAACGATCCGAGGTTAACATTCCACAACCCCCCTCCCAGCCTTCTGCAGGAAGGCGGGGTCCCCGCGGGGCCTGCTTCCCGCTGGGGGAGCAGCTGGGCGAGGCGGGCATGATTTCCGCGCCCCACCCGCAGCAGACACGTCGCCACCCGCCGCCGCGCCCCTTGGAACGGCCGGGCGGGACAGTCCAGCGGGAGCCGCCGGGGCCAGGGCCACCGAGTGCGGCGTCTCCGCCTCCCCACCCCCAACCAGGCCAACCCCAGACAATGGGACCCGCTCAACGTGTCCACCCCGGCTCCCCGCCTGCAGGGCCGCACCGGGAGCGCCCCCCGATTCTCGCGCACCGCCCCCCTCCCCCATCCCAACTCGCTCTGCAGCCCCATCCCCCTCCTCCCTGTCCAGCTCGGCCGGCTCTGCCCGACCCGGATGCAGCAGCACCCCCTCCCCCGTCCCAGGCTCCAGAAAGGAGGATGGCGGCGGCGCAGGAGGTTAGGGGCGCGGGCCCGATGGTGGGTCTGGGGGTGCGGGTCCGGCGGCAGCGGCGGGGCGCGCGGGACCCGGCGAGGGGGGCTCTCACTTTCTCGCGCCGTTCGCGCTCGCCGTCCAGCTCTCTCTGCAGGCCCTGCGCGCGGTCCTCCGCCTCGTCCGCCTGCTGCTGCAGGGCCTGGATCTTGCGTTTCACCGTCTCCAGCGAGTTGAGGCCGGCCATGGCGCGGAGCGCACGCAGCGGGCAGCAGCGGGCAGCAGCGGGCAGCAGCGGGCAGCAGCGGGCAGCAGGGCGGACGGGCGCTCGGCTGGGCTCGGTTCCGGCGAGAGCTGCAGCAGCCGCGCCCCGGGGCCCCCGCGAGCCTTTGCCTGCGCGCCGGGCCGCCCCCGCCTCTTCCCGCCCCCCGGGCCCCGGCTGCCGTCGGGGGCGGTGAGGTCACCCGGGCCGGGCGAGCCACCGACGTCAGCACCGCTGGGCGGGCCTGACGCCGGCACCGCTGGCCGCCGCCGGACGCTTGGGAAAGGGCCTCATTTTCGGGACTTATTTGGAGAAAGCGCCTGGAGGCGCCGCCCCCCTCCTGCTCCTCCTGCCGCGGGCGCCCGGTTACCGCGCACGCACGTCGGAGGCCTTCTTCTCGCTCAGCTCCAGCTTGTCCTGCGCATCCCGCAGCTCCTCCGAGTACTTGTCCAGTGCGTCCTCGGTGCCTCGCAGCTTCTGCTGCAGGTGCTCCAACTCCTGCTCCACCTGGGGACAGACGGGGTGGGGGTGATGGAGCAGCCGGGGACCTGCACCGCGCTCTCAGTGGCCCCGTGTGCGCACGAGGGACCCTTAGCATGCGGTAGCTGTGACTAAGGTTTTGCACAGCTCTCTAGGTTTCTTGGGGCCCAGCTGCTGTGGTCGGGGTGTGTGTGTGTGTTGGAGGGGTGATCTCCTTGGGCATTCTACCCACTTTGGCTGAACAACACGTGCACACACAGTTTTGGCATGGACATTCCAGGGGTGACGCTGGAGCTTGGGTGGTTAAGCGTGGCCAGCCCCAGCCCTTCTCCCTCTAGGTCTGCCCCTCGCAAGAGACGGGTTTTTGCAGGAGATCCTGAGTACAAATGACTGCCCAGGTCCCTCACTTATACTCCCCCCCCCCCGGGGGTAGGGGGCGAGGAGATAACCCCGTTAAGGACCCCCTTAACAGGAGATTGGGGTCTGGATGGGTGCAATTCAGGATGGTGATGAGGGTTAGGCAAGGTTTGAATGCTGAGTAGAAAAAGGAGAGAGAGCTCCCCCAGAAAGCCAGAGCTGGGAGCCAGGAGCTTCTTCTGGGCCACCCCCATGGGTGCTGGTGCCCAAACACTTGAGCCAGCATCTTTCACTGCATTCCCAGGTGCAGTAGCAGGGTGCTGGATGGGAAGTGGAGCAGCTAACACTTTAACTGGCACCTATATGGGATGCTGGCGCCACGGGCAGAGGACTAGCCCGTTACACTATGGCACTGTCCTGGAGCCTGCTCTTACAAAGCAAGGACAATCCCAGCTTAGCTCCCTGCCCACGGGTGACGTACCCCACCCGCTGAAGGCATTTGGGGAGTGGGCCAGAGGATGGAATCAATTTCATGCTTTCTCGGATTGTCAATACCAAGGGGAAGAAAAGGAGAGAGAGGCTCTCTGAGAACAGAACAGGACGGATGGCCACCTCACAGCTGCCTAGAGAGGCCTCAGAGGGTCAGGGCTGAGCCCGTCCGAAGCCAGGAGCTTCATCCAGGTCCCCCACGTGGGTGCAGGAACCCCGAGTCCTCGGGCCATCTTCCACTGCTTTGCCCTGGATCAAAAGTGGAGCAGTCCTGGCACCAACCAAGGCCCATATGGGGGTGCTGGCGTCACAGGCAGTGGCTTTTGCCTCTATGCCACAATGCCCCAGCTCCTGCGATAAATACAGACATTTTAAAAAGCAAAAACACAACCCAGCTCCGACTCAACCTCCTGCCTAGGCACAGTTTGGGAGGCAGCAGCTCAACTGACAGGTCCCCGCAGCCTGCGGGTTGGATTGAGTCTGCAGCTCATGACCCGAGCCCCCCCCCCCCACCCGGGGACTAGCTGTCCCACCTGGCTCCAAGCACCTAGCAGGCCACTGGGCCGGAGCCTGGCTCTCCACCTCCTGACCCAAGTCCCTGGGCCCAGCCCTGGTGATTGGGGGCATTTGTGGGTGAGCCTATGCAAGGCTGGGTCGCCCAGGCTTTGCTTAGGGACCTGCTGGATGAATTGCAGGGCGGGCAGTGGCAGCTCGGGCCAAGGTCAGAGTCTATAGGTGCTGTGCCATCCCCTGTCAGGTTTGAGTCCTAGCTGTGCAAGCCCTTGCACCCATTTTGGGAGTGAAGCACAGATTTAAATTCTCTCTCAACTCTGCCTTTCATATCAATGTTTTTTTTTTTTTTTTTTTAAAGGGGCTGACCTAAGTCAGCTTCTCCTCACGTCAGAATTCTAATGCAGAGAGGACACAGGCCTGCAGTGCCTTCCTCGTGTGGACTCAGTTTCCCCCTGCGTCGTTGGCCGGGAGAGACAGGGAGCGCCCACGGGGGTGGGCCCAAGGGCAGGATGTGGGATCATAGGTCATGGTGGCTGATGTGACTGGCCTGGAGGGGGCAGGAAGCAGCCGAGCCAGACCTCCGTCCTGTTCCCCCCGCTGGACAGACGGGACTGGCCGAGGGAGCTCCTGGGGGGTCAGGCCGACCCCAGCCTCTCCGGCAGCGAAAGGCAACTTGAGGTAAGTTAAGTCTCAGAGCACCCGTGTGTCCAGGCACGCTCCCTGCCAGGTGGGGACACATGGCCGTCAGCTCTGAGGCTGCACAACAGCCGGCAACCCAACCAGGACGGGGCTTGCCCTGTCCCTGAGCCCCCGGCGTGGGTTTGAGCGCAGGTCCACCCCCAGGGGCTGCAGGTCTGGCTGCAGGAGACAGGAGAGGCGTCCACTGAGGCACGGCAGCTGCTGGAAGATTTGAGGAGCCCCCCCCTCTCTCTTTGCAGCCACTCACACTCCAGTGAGAGTTAGGCCTGACCACTGCCCTTTCCCCGAAGCTTGGGGTGTTGGCACCAGCATGCGGGGAAGCCGGCAGGATGGGTGAGGAAGGCAGGGCGGGGAGGAGCCTGTGTCAGCTGAGGTGGGGCTGGTGGCCAGGACTGTGTCCCACACCACCCCGGGCACCGGGGAGGGGAGCCAGGGTGGGGCAGGAGTCCGGCGCTGAGCCAAGGGCGCCACCTGCACCGTCACCTCATCCTCCCAGGGCGGGGAGGGAGGCACCGGGCTGGCAGACTTTCCCCCTAGTCACATGGGCGCGGAACTGTGAGGGCGTGGGTCCTGGGGCGCCCTTGGAGCTGGTGTGTGCCTGGGCTAGGGAGGGCTGGGCCCTCCGTGTGGCCATCCTTGGCAGCTCCCTGGCTCCAGGTCTCGGCAGGTCCCCCAGGCTCAACTCAACTCTTCTAACCCCTGTCCCACCCCCAGCCACCCTTGCAGTGGGTCATAGCCACTGGTCTCCCAGCTGGGGGTGTCCCCAGGCATGGGCACAGGGCCACGCCCCCCATCCTCAGGTCACCCGCCTGACATGCATAGCTTATGCCATCAGCAAAAACACCCCAGTCGGGTACACAACAAGGAAAACCACACACAGACACACAGTCACACACAGACACAGTCACACACAGACACAGCCACACACACACTCAGAGCCAACATGAACCCATACCCACCTGCAGGTACGCACTCGTCTCCCCTTATATCCCCTTCTTCCTTACACACACCTGCCCTCACGGATGCCTCGACCCACACACTGCCACCCTCCTCCCATCCCAATGCAGGTCACATCCAACACGCTCCCCTCCTCAAGGACAAGCCATCTTCCCAGTCACCGCCCCCTTGCACACCTTTCGGTAGACACACACACACAGGTGCACACAGACACGACACAGGAGCACACACAACCACACTCCCATAGATGCAGCATTTGCCTGACAACACCCCTCTCTGTCTCTCCTCTTTAGCTCCCACACTGGTCCTGCTGGGTCAGTCCGGTTGCCCCACGCCTGGCCTCCGGACCCAAGGCCTGGGAAGCCAGCCGCCCCCTCATCTTGCTTTGCCATGGTCTCGGTGCTCGCGCCTTCGTTTCGGCACCCACCAAGATCTCTGCGACTCTCTCTTCTGCCCTCCAGGGCCCTCTCTTTGCCAGGCTGGGCAATGAGAATGGAGAGGATGCTGCCCGGGACAGCCCAGCACCGTTGGGCACGGGTCGTAGGAAGGAGTGTCATGCTCACCTCTTTGCACCTGTCCTCAGCGGCCTTCCTCTCCGCCTCTGCCTGCTCGGCGCGGTCCACGGCGTTCTCCTTGTCCAGTTTCAGCATCTGCATCTTCTTCTTAATGGCCTCCATGGCTGGCTGGTGGAGAGGCTGTGGGTGCGGGAGTGAGGGCAGGGGCGGAGAGGAGGCCCTTATAACCTGCGAGGCCAGGCGGGGAGGGCAGGAGGCTGCACCACCCTGCTCCTCCTCCCGCCGCCGGGAGTTTGGCCAGAGCCCCAGTGTAGTCTGCCGCCGGGCCAGCCGCCACTCGCTCTGGCTCCTCCGGAGGGCCTGGCAGCCTCCTGGCCTCCCGCAGCCCTCGCCTTATTTGGGATTTTCGGGAAGGGAGGCCTGCCGCGCTTCCCAGCTTGAAGGCAGGCGCTACAGGTGCTGTGTGAGACCCAGCCCAGGGCCTGGGGAGAGTGGCCCCCTTCACCCCCAGGTGGCCTTAAGCTCCCCCCGCCCCCCAGCCCGCTGGTGCTTGGTGGGCAGGGGTGAAGCGAGGGCTGGTGGCTAGGATATGAGAAAGCTCCTGGACACTGGGGGATGCAGATGGGTGGACAGGCCTTGCTGCACCCAGGGAGCCTTCCTGGGTTGTCTGTTATAACCCGGGTTACTCCAGTTCCCACCCAGCTCCCTGCTAACGCTACCCACAGGAGGCCAGGCTGGAGCCTGGTTTTAACTTGCCTGTTACGGCATCTGGAAGTGAGAACCAGAGGGTGGACAGACTCTCTCCCGCTGTAACTCTGCCTTTCAAATCAATACAGCTCAAAAAAAAAAAAAAAAAAAATGAGGGGGAAGGGAGTCCCCAGTCCCTCTTGCCCACCCTTGGATTCTGCACTGTCCCTCCCGCTTGCTAGAATGAACTGCGGTTCCCCCGGACCTGCAGCAACAGGAGAAAAACCTGGCTGCTGGCCTCCACTGCTGCCCACACAGGGCTGCCCACACAGGGCTGCCCACACAGGGCTGCTGCCTGCCCGCCTCCGGGACGCTGCCTACGCTATGTCCTTTGCCCCGGGGCTGTCCCTCTGTGCGCCACAGTCCAAGGTCTCTCGTGGACTGAGCCGTAGCATCAGGCGTGTTGGGGCAGTGGGAGTTACCACTCTAAGTATTACTATCTGATCATCGTTTTGGGGTATCAGCTGCTTGAGGGGGCAGGCCATGCCTTGGACCCTGGAAAAGGGGGACAATCTTGGCTCCCTTCTCCTCCCCCGATTACTGTGTTCACCCTTCAAGGCTCAGATCTGAGAACGCCTTGGGCAGGAAGTTCTGGAGTTCTAGAGCCCAGGAGTTGCTCTCAGTGGGTGAACAGCTGTTGCACGCCTGGCCCTGAGAAGGCCTTGAGCCGAGCAGAGGGGCCAGGACCCGGCGTGGTGGTGCAGCGGGTAAAACCTGTGTCAGCCACAACCCATATCGGCGGAACACTGGGTCGGATCCAGGCTGATTCCTCCCTCCCTCTTTCTTTCTTTTGAAAGATTTATTTATTTATTTTTATTGCAAAGCCAATAAAGGAGAGACAGAAAGATCTTCCATCTGTTGATTCATTCCCCAAGTAGCCGCAACAGCTAGAGTTGAGCCGATCTGAAGCCAGGAGTTTCCTCCGGGTCTCCCACGCGGGTGCAGGGTCCCAAGGCTGTGGGCCGTCCTCCACTGCTTTCCCAGGCCACAGGCAGGGAGCTGGATGAGAAGTGGAGCAGCCGGGACATGAACCGGCATCCATATGGGATCCTGATGCTTGGAGGGGAAGAATTAGCAAATTGAACCATGTACCGGTGTCTGCTGCCTTTCTGACGGAGCGTTCTTGCGAGTGCATCCCAGGAAGGCAGCGGGGGATGGCCAAGAACCGGCGGGAGGCCCAGGTAAGGTCTCCTGGCTCCTGGCACAGCCCTGAGGGCTGCTCAGTGTTTGGGTGGTGGGGGAACTGGAAGACCTCTCTTCCTCTGTGACTCTGCGTCTTAAACAAACAAACAAACACGCTAATGAAGAAATAAACACTTTAAAAAATAACTCAAGGACCAGTAGCTCTGGGGGCGGCAGACAGCATGCTGTTGTCCCAGATGGACAGCTGGGGTGTGGCGCCACCGATGGCAGCTGGCTGAGGGCTGCCCTCTCTGGCTCTGCCCCATGGCAGGTGCCCTCAGTGGGTGGTCGGGGAGTGGGGGGCAGGTGGCCCTGGGAGCTGGGGGGCTGCGCAGGCCTGAATGTACTGACTGCCACCTGTGTTGGAATGTGTGAGAGGGCTGCCGAGGCTCCCCAAATCCGGCAAGTTCATCTCAGAACAAGAATACATGAAATTCCCATCTGAGTACTCTCTTTGGAAAAGGAATCCGTGTGTGAGTGCGTTTATCTGGAAGGCATGCAGGCAGAAAGACAATGTCTTGCATCTGCTAACTCTCGGTCAGCAAACACGATAAGCCAGGGCTGGGGCAGGTTGAAGGCAGGAGCCATTTCTTCCAAGGTCTCCCCAAGGACTTGAACCCTCACCCGTCGCCTCCCAGGGTACACATGAACCAGGAACTGGGTGCAGAACTGGAGCAAACCCAGGCCCCTCTGACAGGTCCCAACTGATGTCCCAGCTGTTGTGCCAAACACCTGGCCCAGCATAGAAACCCCTCCCGTGTAACTTGGAGCTCTCTGTTTCCGACTCCAGATCACAGCCAGTGGATAGCAACGCCGGGATTAGAACCTGTGTCTGTCTGATTCCTGGGAACTCCAGGGTCCTTGTCCTGCTGCCCCTCCTGCCCCCGGGAGGAGGCGAGCTGATCAGTGGAGAGGGCAGGGAACAAAGCCCCTCCTCTCTGAGTCATACCCGGAGGGAACTGTGTGGGTTACAGAGCCCGGAGCCCGGCCACAATGCTGAAAAACAGGCCTGACCGCGAGCTTGCCTGCCGACTCACGGTAATTACTAATAATGACAGGTGAGCCAGCCCTGGCCTCCAGATGGCCACATGTCCCCGGCACCTTGACCATGCGGGCAGCTCACTGTCACCGTCTCCCTGGGTGTGACCCACCTTTCACGGGTACAGACAGCGAGGCCCCGGCGGGGCGAGGCCGCACGTCGAGGGACTCCAGGCCCTGGGCTGCCCCCTGCCACTGGGTCTTCAGTCTGAGTCACCCACATGGACACCTCCCATAGTTCCTGCCAGGGGTGGGTGCTCCGTGGGTCTCTCTGTTACTGTGTACCTTGTAAGCAGGGGTGTGGACAACTTAACCCACCCAGGCCTTTATCTTTCCCTGGGTGTTTGGATTGGAAGATTATTATTATTATTTGGTGGGGAGTGGGCAAGTCCCAGCTGTTTCATTCCCATCCAGCTCCCTGCCTGTGGCCTGGGAAAGGAGGGGTGGACGGCCCACAGCCTTGGGACCCTGTGCCTACCTGGAAGATCCGGAAGAAGCTCCAGGCGTTGGCTCAACCTGGCATACACACATGTATTAAAGACTTGGGCATTTTGATGGGAAAGGCAGATTTACAGAGAGAAGGAGAGACAGAGAAAAAGATCTTCCATCTGCTGGTTCACTCCCCAAATGGCCCCCAGTGGCCAGAGCTCAGCCGATCTGAAGCTGGGAGCCAGGAGCCTCTTCCAGGTCTCCCACGCAGGTGCAGGGTCCCAAGGCTTTGGGCCCTTTCTTGATATCTACCTTGCCCTCGGAAGAGTGCAGGGTGCCGTAGTCGACGTGCCAACCGTGTGTTCACTGCCTGAGAGCTGGCCTCCAGCCCACGAGGGCCCCCAGGGCTCCCTTCATGTCACTATTCCTCAGGCTGTAGATGAAGGGGTTCAGCATGGGGGTGACCACCGTGTACATCACGGCCGCAGCCGTGTCCTTCTGGGCCGTGTGGGAGGACGTGGGGCTGAAATAAACCCCAATGAGGGTCCCATAGAACAGGGACACCACGGAGAGATGCGAGCCGCAGGTGGAGAAGGCCTTCCGCTTGCCCCCTGCAGAGGGGATCTTCAGGACTGCGGCAAAGATGCGCGTGTAGGAGCCCAGGATGCCCACGAAGGGGGTGATGATGGGCAGGGCGCCCACGGTGTACACCATCACGTTGTTGAGGAAAGTGTCAGAGCAGGCCAGTTTCAGCAGAGGGCTAAGATCGCAGAAGAAATGAGGGACTCGGTTGTGGGTGCAGAAAGAGAGGCGGGTCAGCAACAGCGTGTGGGTCAGGGCATTGCCCAGGGCGGCCATCCAGGAAGCCACCACCAGGAGGCTGCAGAGGCGTGGCGTCACGGAGGCGAGGTACTGCAGAGGGTGACAGATGGCCGCGTAGCGGTCGTAGGCCATGGCCGTCAGCAGAAAGCTGTCGGTGCCTGCTAGCCAGATAAAGAAGAACATCTGGGTGAGGCAGCCGGCGTAAGGGATGGCTCTGCTCCCTGTCACGTGATTGGCCAGCATCTTGGGGACGGTGGTGGACGTGAAGCAGATGTCCACGAAGGCCAGGTTGGCCAGGAAGAAGTACATGGGCGTGTGGAGCCGGCTGTCGGTGGCAATGGCCGTGATGATGAGAAGGTTGCCCAGCCCCGTGAGCAGGTACATGGTCAGGAAGAAGATGAAGAGCAGGTACTGTTGCTCGGGGTCCTCGGAGAGGCCCAGGAGCAGAAACTCGGAGATGCTGGTCGCGTTTGCTTCCTCCATGGCCAACCTGAATGGATCAGAATGCAAGTGGGGACCTGTCTGTGGTGCTGGACACAGCGATCTTACTTCGTGTGTGTGTGTGAAATAGATGATTGATAGATATAGATAAATTTTATGTATAAAATATTTTTATAAATATTTAAGATAAATACTATATAAACACGTGTTTAAATAAATTGATATATGGAATGGTCAGCTAAACTCCTGGCCATTGTGATAATCTGGCGAGTGAACCAGCAGTTGGAAGATCTCTCTCTGTCTCTTGTTCTCTCTCTAACTCTGCCTTCCACATAGAAATAAATCTATAAACATTTACAATAATTTTAAGAGAATCTTCCATCTACTGATTTCCCCAATGGCTGAGCGGCTGGGGCTGCGCCAGGCGGAAGCCGGGACCTCGCTCTGGGTCTCCCACACGAGTGCGGGGGCCCAGGCACTTGGGCCACCCTCCAGGGGGCTGGATGGGAAGCAGAGCAGCTGGGATGCAAACCAGAATTCTAATTAGGGATGTGGCTGTTTGAAGCAGAGGCTTAAAGCACAATACCACACTGCTCACCTCAAAGTGAAAGAAAATCGCAGTAGTCAGTGGGAAAAGAATGAGCAAGAATCGATGCCCAGGTCTGTACTGTAAGCCTGCAAATGGTAAGACATTGCAAGGGGCTTAATCCTTGCCCTGCATCTGCCAAGATCCCATATGGGCACTGGTTCATGTCCCAGGTGCCCCACTTCCCACCCAGCTCCCTGCCTGTGGCCTGGGAAAGCAGTCGAGGACGGCCCAAAGCCTTGGGACCCTGCACCCGCGTGGGAGACTCGGAAGAAGCTCCTGGCTCCTGGCTTCAGCCCAGCCCAGCCATGGCTGTTGCAGCCGCTTGGGGAGTGAACCAGCGGATGGAAGAGCTTTCTCTCTGTCTCTCTTCTTAGTTAATCTGCCTTTCCAATAAAAAAAAGTTTAAAAATCATTTATAAGATTTAGTTATATTTGAAACTAAGAGAGACACAGAGGGGAGGGGGGCAGACAGACGGAAAACAGGAATCTCTCATCCGTTGTTTTACTCCCTAGAAGACCACAAGAGCTAAGGACTGGGCCAGGCCGAAGCCAGGAGCCAGGGGCTCCATCTGGGGTCCCGCACGGGTGCAAGGATGCAAGGGCTCAGGCCATGTTCTGCTGTTCCCCCAGGGAGCTGGATCTGAAGTGGGGCAGCCGGGACACAAAGCAGTGACACCCACTGTTGGAGAAAAGCGTACATTCCCTCTGAGTCCCGATCCGTGAGCCAGGGCCCCGTCACTCCCCTCTGGGAGCTTACCTTCCTTCCTCCGTGTGCGTCCCTAGAATGACGTCTTTTCTGGAACTGGACCGATAACCCCTGCCTCGGGCCGTGTCACTTGCTGCTCCCTTGGCTAGAAATTCCTTCATCCTGTGACTCTGCTTCCTCCACCCGGCCCTTGCAGTCACTTTCTCACTGAGAAGCTTCAGCAAAAGGAAATTAGGGGGCCTGGTGCCTTGACTCAACAGCTAACCCTTCTCCCGGCAGCACCGGCATCCCATATGGGCGCTGATTCGTGTCCTGGCTGCTCTGCTTCCCATCCAGCTCCCTGCCTGTGGCCTGGGAAAGCAGTGGAGGACGGCCCAAAGCCTTGGGACCCTGCACCCGTGTGGGAGACCCAGAAGAGGCTCCTGGTTCCCGGCTTCGGGTCGGCACAGTACCGGCCATTGTGGTCACTTGGGGAGTGAACCAGTGGACGGAAGATCTTCCTTTCTTTCTCTCCTCCTCTCTGTATATCTGACTTTGTAATAAAAATAAATCTTAAAAAAAAAAACAAAGTTACACAGAAAGAGATCTTCCACCCAATGGTTTAACTCCCCAAATGGCCAAAACAGGGCTGGGCCAGGCTGAAGCCAGGAGCCTGGAGCTCCTTCTGGCCTCCCACAGGGGTGGCAGGTGCTCACGCAGTCGCAGGCAGTCGAGCCTTCTTTGTTAACTGTCCAAGTGGAATGATCAGGGGTGGAGTGGCAGGTTTGAGCCGGTGGGATGCCAGCATTGCAAGGCAGTGGCTCGATGCTCAGTGCCACCATGCTGGCCTCCACCTAATGACCGTGAAACAGTCCCTGGACCTCAGATGGGAATTCTGAGCTGATTACAAAACTGGGGTCTCCCCACCGTACCCCAGCGACAGCTGTTTTGGGTAAATACACCACAAAATGGAGATGCCGGCACGCTTCCAGCAGCCCCCCAAACAATGAGGATATGGGCGACCTCACCAAACGGCTAAAAACAAGGAATTCCACAAGCTGCCACTTCACACCCACAGGGGTAGGCAGAAATAAATATTATCGAGCACTGGCTTGGCCAGGGTGCCCCGGCAGGGCTGGCCCACAGTGGGGCTTGCCCACAGCAGGGTGGCAGAGCAGGGCTCAGCTCCAGCAGGGTGCCCCAATAGGGCTCACCCACAGCAAGGTGCCCCAGCAGGACTCACCCACAGCAAGGTGCCCCGGCAGGGTGCCCTGGCAGGGCTCACCCACAACAGGGGGGGCTGTTGATGAGGACTTGGGATGATGACGGGGTGTTTGGCAGCACAGAGAGGTCTGGTGTGACCTGTGACCCAGAGGAATTCTCCGGAAGGAACACAGGGAGAATTCAAGACTGTCTGGAAAGGTCTGTTGAGTGGGTGCACAGCTCTGGCCCCTCAGTGCCATGAAGTGGAAAAGGTGCAGAGCAGTTGGGCTGCCGTGGCAGGTAAGGCTTAGCAGGAGGATAAGGACAGACGAGTGTCGCTTTATGAAAGATGAAAACACACTGTTCATAGCTACCTCCCATGGCGTAAGGCTGAAAAAATGTGCCTGGGAGTGAGCGATGCAAGGAGGTCGGAGTGCTGCCAGTGTCCGGGAGATGCAGAAGCAGATAGGAGGATCGACCACAGACAGGCGCAAGGCTCAGAGGCACATCCCACGTGACGGGTTGTGGCTAATCCTCCCGGCGAGCCCCAGCAGCCGCTAGGGAGTTCACATCCCGGCTGCTTCCCTTCCCATCCAGCTCCCGGCTGGTGCAGACCCAGAAGAAGCTCCTGGCTCCTGGCTTCACAGCTCAGCTCCGGCATTAGGCCACTTGGGGAGTGAACCAGCGGACGGAGGATCTTTCTCTGTCTCTCCTCTCTACAGATTTACCTTTCCAATAAGGACAAAATAAATCTTTAAAAAGAGAAGAGGCTGGATTGCTCTTCAATGGAAGGACCTGGATGCAGACAGAGATAGGAGGTATATGCTTAAGCGTGCTCCAGAAAGCTGCGGACAAAGGGGAAGGGGAAGATGAGCCTGTTTCGGTGCAAACTATTTTGAACTCCTTGCACGGTTTCATCATGGCGTCAGTGGTCATGAAGTTTTGGAAGTCTCCTTGTACGTAGAGAGGTACAGAGGAGGTGGGTAGCTACACAGCTGGGAGAGAGAGAGAAGGAAGGAGAGAGAGGAGGGAGACAGAGGCAAAGAGAGAGGGAGAAAGAGAGAGACAGAGCGAGATGGAGAAGGAGAGAGAGGAGGGAGGGACACCGAGAGAGGCAGAGAGAGAGAGACACAGGAGAGGTGACAAGATGTGTGGTGTCAGATCATGAAACACGTTTTTACATTTGAGCTGAGAGTGTGTTTCAACTTAAATTGTGTGTGTTTTTAAATTTTGCTTCCTCTCTCCCTCATCACACACACACACACACACACACACACACACACACCACTTCTCTCGCCCTCTCTGTCTCTCTCTCTCTCTCACACACACACACACCACTTCTCTCGCCCTCTCTGTCTCTCTCTCACACACACACACGCCCTCCTAAGCACACGGAGTCCTGGTGGGGCAAACGGGAGAGAACTGTCTGGGTGGGAAGCAAGTGACATAGTCTATCACCATTCCGTGGTCAAGGTCACTTTCCATGGTCAAGGTCACTGCGTTCTTTGTGCTCTCATCTCCAAGGGTCCAGACGCCTCCTGGGCTTGGGGGGCAGGGGGAGCCCCTCCTGTGCCATCTGGGCTTGCTGAGGCCCGGCACTCAGCATCCATCCCACCTCTGGTCCTTCCTCCACACCCAGCTCCCTCGCATGTGCACCTGGGCTGGACACAGCACGGGCAGGGCAGTGCCCCTGCTTCCCTGCTCACCCCTACCTGCCCCCCAGTGCCCCTGCTGGCTGCCCATCCTACCTGCTCCCCAGTGCCCCCGCTGGCCTGCTGGCCGCCCACCCCCGTCTTCTCCCCGGCCTTTCCTCTCTTAACCTCTCAGACCTGCCACACTGCCCTGTCACCTCTCCCGCGCTGACATTTATTTAGGCTCCAGATGCCGTGACAACGGAATCAATGTGTGTGACCCCTGAGGCAGGCCTTGTCTCAGAGAGCCGTCGGCTACCTCCCCGGGCATCTCCTGGCTCTGGAATTTGCCATGCGGGATCTGCAGGCTGGATCCTGCTGACAGAGCATCCCATATGGAACAAGTTCGGAGGCCCAGACAGGCCCGGTCACTTCCTCCAGGACACACAGCAAGCTTGGCTGTGGTCTCTCTCCTCCTTACTCACCTACAGGAGGGGTCCCTCTGGCTCAGGAGGCCACAGGTTTTCTTTCCAGAAAGCGGTTCTGGGCTGTGTGTGAGGTTGGAGGCAGACTCGAGGGCCCACAGGAGGCCGTGCCAGGGCTGGATAGGGTGCGTTTTACCCCTGACCCCGACCCCTGGGCTGCGTCCCCTTGTGTCTTATTAGGATACCTGCTAATTGTCCGTTTCCAGCTCCGTCCCCCATCGGCCGGGGTCTCAGGGGGAGGACGAAGGTAGTTAGCTGCCCTAGGCTGCTCGCTGCACTCCCGTCTCTTGGGGAACCTCCGTGTACAGCAGGGGCCCAGCGGGACGCCCCTCCACTCCCTCCTCGCAGCGTGGCCAGGGCTTCCCTCGTGCTGCATTGCTGGGACCCACTGTTCAATGCTAAGATGTAACACGCAAAAGGAGCCATCATTTTAGAAAGCAGACAACACAGCAGCCATCAGCTCCATCGAGTTCCGGAATGTTCTCATGTGTCCCCTCCCTCGGCCCTTGACAATCAGTCATCTACTTCCTGTCCCTGTGGCTGTGACAGGATACTATGGCTGTGGCTGCTCTGGAAAGTTCTATACATAATGGGATAGAACTGTGGCTGTTCTGGAAACTTCTATACATGATGGAATAACATGACTATGGCTGTTCTGGAAACTTCTACACATGATGGGATACTCTGGGCCCTTTCATGGGTCATTTCTTTCACTTGGTGCCATGGTTTTGAGACCAGAACTCTGCTTTTTCTTATTCACAACCGTATTTATTATTTCTGTCTGTTGGAGAGGTAGAGAGAGAGAGAGAGAGAGAGAGACCTTGGGTCTCTCCTCAAACATCTGCAACAGCCATGCCTGGGTCAGACCAACAAGGCCCGGTGCCTGAAGCACCAGCCGGGTCTCCCCCGCGGGTGCAGGGTCCCAAGGCTGTGGGCCGTCCTCCACTGCTTTCCCAGGCCACAGGCAGGGAGCTGGGTGGGAAGTGGAGCAGCCGGGATGGACACCAGAGCCCCCGTGGGAGGCTGGCGCTGGAGGTGGCAGCGTAACCCACTGCACCGCAGTGCCGGCCTCTCATTTTGATGCTGGATTGAGACCCAAAAGGTGAGGCACCTGCAGCTGTTTATCCTCAGCTGAAAACCCAGGACGCGCATGTCGAAATCGGCTGAGGGGAGAGTCAGCCTAACAACTTGAAATAGTCATGTATGTATCTGTTTTAAAAGTTTCAATTTTATTCATTTGAGAGGGAGAACGCCCTTCTGCACTTTCACTCCCTGAATAACTGCAGCTCTCACAACTCCCCAAACACTGGTCGGGTCGGGTCAGGTAGGACTCAGGGAACTCGAGGTTTCCAAGGTGGGTGGCAGGGGACAAACACTCGGGGGGCCACTGCCTCCTGGGGCCTGCTGCTGCAGCAGGGGCTGCACGTGGAGCTGGGAGTTGAGACCCACCCTACTGCAGTCTGGCATGGGGCTTCAAACCCTGAGTAAACACCTTCTTCCACTTTGTTGTTCAAGTATTTTGATTTTGAAAGACAAATTGGACCAACCTGGAAGGCACACGTCATGGAGCGGGGAAATGCAAGCTGCTCACCCGAGCTTGTCCAACGGTTGACATCTTCCCCCTGAGCCACACCCAGCGGCCATGTTGGGACAAGTTGTTGCCAGGGACACCCGCGTTCCGGAGCTGAGGTGAGACGCCACTGCTGACTGTCTCACGCTTGGCAGGCAGTCAGCTGGAGATCAAGCCCTCAGCTCCCGGAGATCTGGACTGAATTGTTGGATCCTGGCTGTGATCTGGCTTGAATCTTGTGAGTGGACATGGTGTCATGGTGTACTGGGTCAGTCAGTGCCCTGTGCTGGCATCCCATGAGGGCACTGGGTCAGTCAGTGCCTTGTGCTGGCATCCCATGAGGGCACTGGGGTGCTGGGTCAGTCAGTGCCCTGCACTGGCATCCCATGAGGGCACTGGGTCAGTGCTGCCCTGCACTGGCATCCTATACGGGATGTGGCTGGAGTCCTGCTGCTGCACTGTGGCTCACGCCCCCTGCTCACGCAGCTGGAAGGCAGCAGGGGACGTTCCAAGGGCTCCCTCCCCAGAGACCACATGCTTGTCTCATGCCCTCTGCCTTGCTCAGCCCTGTCCATGTTGGGTATCTGGGGGCAGTGAGACAGTGCATCCAAAGTCTTAATTTCTCCTTCTCTTATATTGTCATTCTGCTTTTTAAATAAAACAGAGGAAGAAGGAAAAGAAAAAGAGAGAGAGAGAGATCCCCTCTGCTGTTTGGCGTCTCTGCATTCATGAAAGTTGAAAGTTCGATTCTCCTAACATCAACTCCTCCCCATGGAGTTTCCGTTCACACTTTATCTGAGCTGCTTTAGTGTTACTTTAAGGACGATGCTGGCTGGGCTGGTGAGGCACTGGCGTCCTCCAGTGTCCGCACGGAGACATGCACCATGCCATGTCGGAAGGTGAGGCACTGGCGCCCTCCAGTGTCTGCACGGAGACATGCACCATGCCACGTCGGAGGGTGAGGAGGACCCGGTCATACCTTCAGGCATATCACCCACCATCCTGGGGGTCCCCACTTCTCCTCCTGTCCTACTTCAGCAGTACCCCACTGCAGCCACAAGTGGTTCTCACCCGGATTAACCTCCCCACGTCTCTGGGTTGGGGCCCAGTGCAACGGCTCAGCAAGCTGGCTCACCCCCTAAATGACTGTGACAACCGGAACGGGGCTAGTCGGAAGCCAGGACTCTCTTCCGGGTCTCCCAAGCTCTCAGGCCAACCTCCCAGGCACATGCGCAGGGAGCTGGATTGGAAGTGGAGCAGTTGGGACTTGAACCGGTGCCCATTTGTGCTGTTGGCACCACAGGTGGAGGCTTAGCTTGCTACATCACAGCACCGTAGTTTTACTTACAAGAGATTTCTGCTTTTGACTGTTTGTGGGAAGGTTGCACCCCGATGCCAGCAGCAAAGTCCGGGGGACTTTGGAAGGTTTGTGGGCAGTGTGGGCTTGGGCTTGCTCCCCAGCCTGCTCAGGGTTCCAGTCCTGCAGGGCAGGCCCGGTGCTGCCCGAGTGGGTGTGGGAAGGTGAGGGCCAGTGCGTCATGGCGAGGTACTGGGGGGCTCAGACAGCAAACAGGCCTGGAAGTCAGAGTTAATGACAGGAAAGTTTTCTTTTCTTTTCTTTCTTTTTTTTTTTAAGATTTATTTTTTATTATTTTTTCATTGGAAAGGCGGATATACAGAGAGGAGAGACAGAGAGGAAGATCTTCCATCCGATGATTCACTCCCCAAGTGAGCGCAATGGGCCGATACTATGCCGATCCAAAGCCAGGAGCCTCTTCCGGGTCTCCCACGCGGGTGCAGGTTCCCAAAGCTTTGGGCCGTCCTCGACTGCTTTCCCAGGCCACAGGCAGGGAGCTGGAAGGGAAGCGGGGCTGCCGGGATTAGAACCAGTGCCCATATGGGATCTTGGTGTGTTCAAGGTGAGGACATTAGCTGCTAGGCCATGGCGCCGGGCTCCTGCCATCAGTTGTTACAGATCTGTTCCATAGTCTGGACTCACCTATGTCCTGTTGGCCCATCTGTCCATCCATACTTTGCCAGAATCATTCTTTCTCTTCTCTAGTTCGACATCCGGCTCAGGTTCCCATCTGGCTTGTCTCCAGGTCTCTTGGGTGTGTTGGAGTCAGACTCTGCTTCGTGCATGAAGAACCAGCGTGCCAAGAGCCACAGAGCGGGGGCTGCGTTGCCTGGGAGGGAGGAGGAGCGCTGGGGAGCTGCAGAATTCACACCTGCCTTGCAGGAAGGTTTGCAGAGTCTGGTTCGACTCTGGGGTGCTGGCGCCCTCTAGTGCGCGTCAGCATCAGCGCACCGCGGCAGAGTGGGATCAGGTCAGGGATGAGGTGGAAGTTATCCCCAAGGATGCTTGGCAGCTCTCAGGGCCCGACCCCTCTCGCTGGGGTCTGTCTGCCACTGCCCTCGCGCCCACCCCGTGCAGCCCCAGGTGCTCTCCTCATCCTCACACCTGCCCTTGCCAGCGTCCTCTAAATTAAAAAAAAGAAAGTATGGGGCCGATTGGTAGCGGAACAGGCTAATGTTTGGGCTGCAGCACTGGATCCCATATGGGCGCTGGTTCTAATCCCGGCAGGAAGCTGGATCTGAAATGGAGCAGCTGGGACTGGAACCAGTGCCCACACGGAAAGCCGGCATGACAGGTGGCTGCTATGCCACCATGCCAGTCCTCAGTGTAAGTTTGAAAAAAAAAAAAAAAGACAAACCATATTCCACCCATAACAGTGGGAAAAATATCCAGAAACTGGAGTTGGCTTCTGTGATATTATTTTGGGAGGCAAAGCAAAAGAGACATTGATCGACTCTTCATTTTCTGGTTCATTCCTCAAATGCCAGGGCTGGGACCAGAACTGGGAACCTGGAACTCAACCGGGGTCTGCTCTCAGCACAGCCCATCGCCTGGTGCCCAGGTCAGCATCTGCAAGAGGCTGCAGGCAGGAGGCAGGACCAGGACTTGAACCCACGGGAGCCTGTAGCAGCCACCACACATGTCTTCACCAACAGGACCAACACCTGTCCTTGGATCCATATTCTTGCAGTAAAAATGTTCTTGCTCTAAGACTGAAAAAAAAAAAAAGACTTTGTTGTTTTCCAAAGTGCACACGCACGCATCTGACGGACTTGTCAAGGTTTTGCACCGCGTGGAATGAAACGCAAAGGAGCATCTCAGCTCCAGGAGGAAAGCCACGCGGTCATGTGAGGCCCGCCTTGCCAAGGACTTTGGCCAGAGCCGTTCGGACGTCCCTGTTCCTCAGGCTGTAGATGAGGGGGTTGAGCGTGGGGGTGACGAGACTGTAGAACAGCGAGACCACATTGTCTTGCTGTGGGCTGTGGTAGGCGCCAGGCACCATGTACATGAACACGGCCGCCCCGTAGAACAGGCCCACCACGGCCATGTGCGAGGAGCACGTGGTGCAGGCCTTGCGCCAAGCCTCTGCCGAGCGCATGCGGACCACAGCCCTCCACACGAGGCCGTAGGAGATGGCCACGAGCGACAAGGGCACAAGCAGGATGAGCACCCCCGAGACGGACAGCGCCAGCTCGTAGGCCGAGATGTCCGCGCACACCAGCTTCAGGAGGGCGGGCAGCTCGCAGAAGAAGTGGTCCACGGTGTGCGAGGCGCAGTAGGGGAACTGCAGGGCGATGGTGGTCTGGATGGAGGCCACCAGCACGCCCGAGAGCCACGAGGTGCCCACCATGAGCAGGCACACCTGTTGTCTCATGAGCACGGGGTAGTGCAGGGGATGGCACACGGCCACGTAGCGGTCGTAAGACATGAGAGAGAGCAGGACGCCTTCGCTGACACCTGTCAGCATCAGGAAGAACATCTGGGCGGCACAGCCTCCCAGGGAGATGGAGCTGTCTTGCCGGAGGAAGTCAGCCAGCATCTTGGGGATGGTGACCAGGGCAAAGCTGACGTCCAGTAGGGAGAGTTGGCTGAGCAGGAAGTACATGGGCGTGTGGAGCCGGGAGTCTGTGCAGATCAGCAGGAGCAGGACGCTGTTGCCCAGCAGCCCCATGGCGAACGTGGCGGCCACAAGGCAGAGGAGGACGAGCTGTGGCCCTGTGTGGCTCAGCAGGCCCACCAGAGTGAACGCGGAGGCCGTGGACTCATTGGATCCCCCCATTCTTCAGGAGGTGGCATTGACCTGCAGGGCAAACAGGGAGCTTGGTGAGGGGCCCGTCGGGGTGGCGTGGTGGTAATGTGTTCATCTTAGACTCTGAATAGCAACTGTCGGATAGCGCTCAGGCTCAGTAACAAAATCCCATGACTTAAAAAATATGAATAGGGCCCGGCATGATAGCGTAATGGTTAAGGTCCTCGCCTTGAATGCACCGGGATCCGATATGGGCGCTGGTTCTAATCCCGGCTGCTCCACTTCCCATCCTGCTCCCTGCTTGCGGCCTGGGAAAGCAGTGGAGGATGGCCCAAAGCCTTGGGATCCTGCACCCGCGTGGGAGACCCAGAAAGAAGCTCCTGGCTCTTGCCTTTGGATTGGATCAGCTCTGGGCTGTTGCAGCCACTTGGGGAGTAAACCAGTGGATGGAAGACTTCTCCCTCTGTGTAAATGCCTTTCCAATTAAAAAAAAAATCTTAAAAATAATCAACTGTAAAGTGAGATTTTTTACTAATTTTTTTCTTTTGAGGAAGGAGCTCAACAGAGACAAAATAACTCCCAATGCAAGAAGATCAATGAATGAGCTACTTGAGAATTCAGTGCAAACTTTCTTTCTGCCTCTCTTTCCTCCCTGTTGTTGGACTCTCATTTCCAACAGCAGGGAACAAGGCACGCAGCAGGTGCTTCGTGGAGATGTGCTCAACGAGTAAAATGGCTAAGAAAATGCTGCCTTGTGTCTGAGGTGAACAGGTGCTGACTGGCAGATCTTGGAGTCAAATCACCCTCTGATTAATTTCAAATCATGTATTCTCTCTTTCTGCCAGTTTTCTGTGCCTTGCCTCTCTAAGCTGCCTTGATCTGAAGAATTACTCAGGGTGCATTGGACTTTTAAGTTTTTATGTATTTATTTAAGAAGAGTGGGGAGGGGGGAGCCCTGCATCTCTCCCCAAGTTGCAGCTAGGGGTCTGGAAAGCCATCTGCTCTCCCACCTCGGTGGCAAGAACCCAAGGGTTCAAGCCATCCCTGCTGCCTCCCCAAGGTCGCACTAATGGGAAGCTGTCGTCGGGATCAAGGCTGGGCCTCCGCCATCCCAGCTACCAGGCTAAACACTTGCTCCAAGCGTCTTTGAGGGAGAATGTCCCTGCCACAGGGGCGGGTGGAAGCTGTCACCTCGACCTAGGTTTAACATCTTAATAACCAACACAGCTCCTGGTCTTCCCAGATCAACTGCTTCACTGACCCTGGAAAAGGAGACCTTCACGGGGATCTGGTTACACGGAGCCTCACGACAGTGCTGGATGCTTGGAAATACACAGATGATCCAGCGCCCACCTGTGTGGGAGGATCCGGCGCCCACCTGTGTGACAAGGAGGCTCAATGCATTTTCATCTCGCTTTCCAAGCACCCGCATCCACCAAGCGCTTTGAAAATCCGTGGAGGGTCAGGGTTCGCCTCGAGGCTGACGCCTGCGTCCCACCTGGCCTGGGTTTAATCCTGGCTCCAGCTCCTGGGTCTCCAGTCCCTTGTTAATGCACACCGTTGGAGGGTGGGTGACAGCCCCCGTAGCCAGGCTCCCGCCCCCTGCGGGAGAGCTGCTCGTTTCAGCCCGGCTCAAGTCCACGCATCGTGGGCACTTGCGGAAGAACCACCAACTTCTTTTTCTCACTGCCTCTCAAGAAACTTAGCAGACGATGGAGTTAAACAGTAAGTTCGTTTTGATATATATTTAGAAATCCATGCATGTGAGGCACTTTCAAAAAGTTCATGATAATCACATACTATTTTTTTTAAAGCTATGCATGTAGGCATTAAAACATTTTCTGCACCAAAGTAGGTTCGTTTCATGACTTGTTTCCAACAGAAGCTGCATACTCACACACAATGTGGCCGTGACCATGAGCCTGACACCATTAGCTCGCCAGGTTCCTGTTACTGCTGTGTCGATGGTGTTATGGCACCCAGACCCGAGACCCCCACGAGCTCTCAGCCTGCCTGTCATGGCATCCAGACCCGAGACCCCCACGAGCTCTCAGCCTGCCTGTCATGGCACCCAGACCGGAGACCCTCACGAGCTCTCAGCCTGCCTGTCATCGCACCCAGACCCGAGACCCCCACGAGCTCTCAGTCTGCCTGTCATGGCATCCAGACCCGAGACCCCCACGAGCTCTCAGCCTGCCTGTCATGGCATCCAGACCCGAGACCCCCACGAGCTCTCAGCCTGCCTTCCGGAGGGCTCCGCCAGCGCCTTGTTCCTGTAGACACATCTCTGCTCCTTGGGGAAGCCTCGCAGGAAATAGCCCCTCTGTGAATGAGCCTCTCCTTGTTTCACGGAGGCAGCGGTAAGTTTGTTGTCTAACGGGCTAGACACCTCGGGGAAATGATTTCCATCGGGGATCGTCTCATTTTTCTTTACCAGAGGAAAAGAATTGGCAGCCATGGGAGTTGAGGGGTTTGAGAATGGAGTACCCCAGGGAATCATGGCAAGTATTTTTTTTTCCCTCTCTATTCTGAGTTCCAGGAGGATGGAAAGCAATGTGCTGGATGACCAACCTTCCGGAGGATCCAAGTGATGGTGGTCGATAACCTACGGCCCCTCCGCCCTTGGGGCTGGCACTGTGGCACCGTGGGCGAAGCACTGCTTGCTATGTCAGCATCCTAGGTGGGGGTCAGCACGAACCCTGGCTGTTCCACTTTGTGCCCCAGCTTCCTACTAACCTGCCTGGGAGAGCAGCAGAGGGCCGCGCGCACATGGGGGACATAGAAGCCCCTGGCAGCAGCCTGCTCCTGTCCCAGCTGCGGTGGCCATTTGGGGAGTGACCCAGTGGGTGCAAGATCTCTTGCTATCTAGCCCCCCTCCACCTCCCTGTAGCCTCAACTTTCAAATAAAATAAATACTTGTTTTTAGATGGCCCTTAAGTCTCTGAGTGTGATGTTCATCTCATTCTTAGAGGATGCTAGAATAACAGAACCCGTATCTTCTAAAGCCCCTGGGGGCGGATGATTCTCCCAGCAGCTGGAATGGCAGCACTGTGTATCAGACTCCAGCCCCTGAGCCCTCGGAGGCAGCGGTCACGGCTCCTGCCGCTCACGTGGGAAGCCTGGACGGAGAACTGAGCTTCTGGTCCCAGCTTTGGCCGTAGGCCAAACTGAGCCACCAAGGGCACTGGGAGGGCGAACCTGCAGACTCCAGCTCTGCGTCTGCCTCTTACACAATACACATGGCTCGAGAATTCTTTAAAAAAAAAAAAAAAGATGTATTTATTTTTATTGGAAAGTCAGATATACATAGAGGAGCAGAGAGGAAGATCTTCTGTCTGTTGATTCACTCCTCAAGTGACCACAATGGTTGGAGCTGTGCCGATCTGATGTCAGGAGCGTAGAACCTCCTCCGGGTCTCCCATGCGCAGGTGCAGGGTCCCGAGGCTTTGGGCCGTCCTCCACTGCTTTCCCAGGCCACAGGCAGGGAGCTGGGTGGGAAGTGGAGCAGTGCAGGTATGAGCCGGCGCCCCATGGGATTCTGGCACTTTCAGGGGAGGATTAGTGAATTGAAGCACAGTGCTGTCTGCCCGCTCGCGCCCTGGGATCTCTTATTGTACGTGTAACCTTTTGAGGTGTCTGGGGCTGTCTGAACCCCATCGTAATAGCTACTCAGTAAGTGCTTGTTGAATGGGAAGAATAAGTGAGGCATGGCTGTCCCGTGGCCCAGCCCACAAGGGTGTCAGCTCAAGATGCGTTCCTGTGGAAACAGCTGATCTCCAATAAGCATTGTTGTGAGTCAGGGCTAGTAGGAATATGGTTAGGTCATTGTCCTCTCTGCTCTGAAACTTGGGACCTGACACTGCCCGGGGTGGGGTGATGAAGCAAAAACTTCTATTACAGCTGCAGGGCAAAGATGCTACATTGGATCCTCTTCCGGGATCACGGAGTCAGGGGTCAGCAACTGAGTGTGGTCTCGCTCTTTGTTCAACAACATCGGGCCAGAGTTATCTGTGGGATGTGTGTGCGTCCCCTGCCCCGAGTCCTAACATACAGCCCTGAGCTCGGCAGATGTTGGAGCATGGCGTGCGGAGCCACCAGGGGCAAAGCCCACGCCCCGTATCAGGGTGTCACTTGCAGTTCTAGTACCTTCTGCTTGCAGGGAAGCCCCCGTCTAAGGTTCCCCAGGAGTCGGTAGGTGACAGCTTGAGACCTGGGCCCTGGCCAGCCATCTGCAAGATCAGAGAGGATTTCCAACTCTTCAGCTTGCCTCTCCCTGGGCCCTTGTCGGCACTGGGGAAGGGGACCAACGAGTGGAAGATCTTCCCACTTTCCTGTTTGAGTAGCTGAGAATAAGCATTCTTTAAACATCCATGAAGTGTGTTGGTACAGTTGAACTCAAGTCTGTGGGTTCTACGGTTACTTACATTCAGCCAAACAGCAATACAAATATTCCAATATTCTCTACACCGAACACACACAGCCTTTGTTCTTATTTATTTCCTTAAAAAAAAAAAAGATTTGTTTACTTATTTTATTGGGCCATCCTCTGCTGCTTTTCCAGGCCACATGCAGGGAGCTGAACGGGAAGCGGGGGCTGTTGGGACATAAACTGGCGCCCATGTGGGATCCCGGCGCATGCAAGGCGAGGACTTTATCCACTAGGCTATCATGCTAGGCCCTGTTCTTATATCTTAATATAGTATAGCAACTATTGACATGGCATTGAACTGGCATGAGGTACTGTATGCAAGTCCTCTGGTGATGATTCGGTCCGTGGAAAGATGTGTCTGGATTTTGGGGTAGCACTATGCCATTTGTGCAGAGGGGATTTGAACAAGCAGAGTCTGACATCTGTGGAGGGTTGTGGAATGAACCTTGTATGTATACCGAAGTACAACTCTGTTCCAAATGAAGTCACCGGGTGGGAATTAGAAGCAGATTTGGAAGGTTGGAGCACCCCAATTTCTCTGGACATGACTGGAGTGTACCATAAGGAGAGGGTTGGGGAGCAGGTGCCATCTCCTTCCAAA